AATTACTTTCGCTACCGCACATGTTCCATCCTACTGTATTGTTACATCGTTATAAATAACCAATATGCCCACAGAGATGCCTTACCTGGTTTTATTCCATAAAAATGCACTTGAAGAATCGTCCTCTAGTGTGTTTCAGATGAGGGGAGGGTGGGGGGGGGGGGGGGCGCTTTGCAGTCATCCAGACAACATTTTACTATGCCAAAAAAATTAAACATGGACCCCTGAAAATTTCGGCACTGAGTGATCTGGCAGGCCAGGTGGTGTGCGGATGGCACCGCTTTCAAAACGCTGCGGCCCCTGAGCTTTCACTCACTTGTGAGAGACTGACAGTGTGACAACAGCAACATTACTGAAGTTAGACATCCGCTCAGAACTGTCAGAATAAAACGTGTCCCACTCCTCCCGGTGAAACACTGGAAAAGCTTGTGCAGCGAGCTCATTTTGGCAAGTTTCGGACCAACACCCTTTATCAGTACACCCACCCCTCATTCTTGTGTGACATAGGCTACACACAAAATAACTAAATGGATTAGGCCTACCTACAGAAAATGCTCCAGCAAAGGGAATTGGACAGTAGCCTACATAAAATATGATTTTAGGTTTGGTCACAACATAAATATAACAATTAAACAGAAATTAAATTGCTAGGCCAACTACTAGCGACATAGCCTATCAAGAGAATTACAAGTGGGCCAGTATTTACCGGTAGGCAGTAGGCTACCGGCACTTCTACATTTTAGTCTTTGGTGTACCGGGAGTTTGTCTTGCGGACAGGTGTCATGCCAATGTAGTTTTCTGCCCTGTCCATACCAGGTTCTGACGCCCACCTGTCCCCTTTCTCCCCTGCCTGCTAATCTCTGTAGATGGAGACAGTGCAGGGAGAAGCCTGCTGGCATTAAGCTGTTGTCTAATAAAGGCCCTTTTCCACGAGTTGAGCTGGTACTGGTAATGGAAAAGCGCCAAAAGTCACTTTTCGTGAACCGACCAATCACAGCATGAATGGGGCGGGACATTCAAAATAGGTTGACGCGCTACAGCCAACTTTTGAAATATTGAACTCCTTGTATTTGCATGAACAGTAATTGTTATTGACAAGTTAGTAGGCTTACTTAGAATTAAGAAATGAGAGATTGACCACATGTAGAGCATTTTTTCTTGCACAATAATTTAATGAATGAAAACAACCGGCAGAAATGAAATGAATAGGCCTACTGAATGAATAATGAATACACTAACATTAACCCTAATCAAACCTTAACCGCAGTGGTATAATATCAGAATTTTCTTTTTATTTGTGAAACAGTTGGAACTGTTAAAACACAATTAATAAACTGTTTAAATGTTACAAATAGGCCACTCCATAAGCTGTAAATAGTAAATCAAGAATATCAAAGCAAGTCTAACCTGTGTGATCATTACAATTAAAATATTTATTCTACGTACTGGAGGAATAGCCTAACTTAAATCATGGTCGATTTATCCAAATCGTTTTCACTGTGTGTTAAAACGTTTCCATGGTCTGCGTTTTATTGTGAAGGCAGAATTGCCTGATTTCCGGTGTTAATGTGCCCGGTGTTGTCTAGCTTGAAGCTGTTTGTGATGCTGAATGCAGCCAGTGGTTGGGCCCTCCTCCCACACTCCCCATCCCATCAGCTGGATCTGACCTCAGGCTACAGTCCCTGCTGGAGGAAAATTAACTTTCCCTGATTCAAATCAGTCAACGAGTCTTGACAGCACACTCTTCATGTCACACAGTAACAGAATCCATTATACTATGTCTTGAGTTAATTTGGTTTTATCTGTTGATAAGGAAAGACACAATGTCCAGCCTTCAGGGTGTATATCTGACTGATCTGAAGAGCCTTATTAGCCATTAGAACATGGTCTAGATTAACATTTACGTCTATGTAAAATCTAGACCAGGGGCTTTCAAAGTCTGAGACTGTGGATGCAATGTGATCATGTAGATACTTAACAGTCGAACAAAGGGAGCCTAATATTGCTGTTTGGCATTACTTCAGACCAAATGCATAACAAAAGGTGTTTTGTTTATTTTTTAGCATGGAATACAGTACAATTCCCCAAAACTACTCTTTTACTCTCTCTTTAACAGAATCACACACATTTAGGCTGTTCTATGTGATCTCCTTTTGATAACTAATGTAATAACTAATGTAACCATTTTTTACTTCCTTTCTCTGAGCCTTCCCCGAAGCCCCCTGGGGAGACCCGCCTCCAACTTTGAAAACCTCTGATCTAGACCACTCCTCTTCCTTTCTCCCACTTTTACTAAATCCAAAATTGTCATTCAAATGATTTTGATCAGAATTCAGGATCCAGACATAATCTGGAGACACCCCCACACAGGGCTCTTTCCTCTGTGACGTGTTTACATAGCTTTATAAAATCTTCCACAAAGCACATTTTTATCCACTACTTTACTGATAAAAGTAGGAATAAGGGGGTGTGCCAACTAAGCATGTAGATAATAATTCAGTCACTTCCTAATTAACTAGATTCAAAATGTCCCTTAATGAAGAAAATGTTACTGTGACTAAAAAAACTAAAAGAACACAGAGTTCATGAAATCCTTAACTGCATTGAATGTGTTTGCATGTATCCTTAAAGACAGTGAGGATAAATGAGTTGTAATGAAGGAACAGGATGGTTATTATGGCTTTTAATTATTTAGCATTTTTGAAATTCTCTTATCACTGTTTGATAATATGCAAATCTGCAAAATACAAAGAAATCTTCAGTGGCCTTTTTCATTTAATATCTGAATCAGACAACCTTCACTGTCAGAGTAACAATAGTGACTTTTGTCTGGATGTGGATATTTTGTTGAGATTTTGTATCACTGTGTTGTTGCAGTGGAGCTGTCATCACTCCCCCTGGGACTTGAGGCTAATTAGCTTGCTAGTGTTTCACTGCCTCACAGAAAGGGAGTTATAAGTGTATTGTTGTGCTGCTTCTGTCATGGTGAAAATAGTGGTTACACATAAGACTGATTTGTTTTAACTGAGCAATAGAAACAAAAGCTATTGAGCAAATACAAACGTATCATGAATAGTCAACAACTGCCTTGCTGAGCTAGTTGAACAGGATCATGAAACGCATCAGTTGGAAACAAACTCCCAATACTTCAAAGTCAATATCGTCACACTTCCATTCATTGTTCTGTATACATCAAGTGATTTTAAACCATGATTTCAGGCAAAACGGCATGACTTTTAATCTACTAGTCCTGCTGCAAAACCTTATGGTCTTAAGGGTGTGTCTATTGTGTTTGTCATAGGTGTCCTGGGCTGAACTTTTTAAGCCCCATGATGGGCTGAACTATCTAAGTTCACAGAACTTTATTCAGGATGAACATCCTGAGAGAAGCCAATCTTATTAAACATCCTGAGTTGACAGAGCGATCATAAAATTCCAAGCTACATGTAGCTTTTTCATAACTTTTCATTTACATACTAGAAAAGGAAAGCTGCTCTAAGACATGTGAGGACATGTTCCTTATTCTGGATCACTATGGACCCCTACAGGAAATGCTGCAACAATGGATTATCTTCAGCTGGGTTATCAGTAAACCACAGACTGACACATGTCCGTAAAACTAAAACACCAGCTCATCTCTTTAGGAAATGTCATTAGAGTTATTAGATAAAAATATTTTTCTACACAAATACTATACATTTTGTCAAAAGGACATATGTGAACTGCAAGATGTTGCTTTTGCGCTCCATTTGCCAGCTGTTTGTTCATCTCTGCTGTGTAGTTATAACAGTGATGGGGAAAGATGCTCTGATCAAAACAGCTGTTTCTTTAGTAATTTGTTTACAATCCTTTTTTCATATGAAAGCAACATTATTATGAGTAGTCACCTAAAGTATTCCTCATTTTATTCATGACCCCTTGTCTGTTGAGGACACAACCTGAACGTAGCACAGAAAAGTCACAATCATAACTTTTAAAAATATAGCTACTAAAAAACAAAAGTAAATAGTAGTTTTCTGTGTACGTTTTATAATTGATTAAAAGTTTCATCAGATTTAAGTAGGCCTAAGTAAGATTAAAGACTTTAGCTTAAGCAGGCTACACCGTGATTCAAATGTAAATAAAGGTGGGGTCAGCCAGCTTCCCAAAATACAAACACAAGATGCAAACTGTTGCAGCCTACTGTTTTCTGTAGAACCTGTCTGATTCACTGATGCTATAAGCTGATATTGACTTATCAGACATATAAGTATGGGGGTTTATTTTGCCAGATTTGCAATAACTAAATGTACTGTAATATACAGATAGTAATACTAGATTAATATGTTGTCAATATGCATATTTATGTGCAAAAATAATGAATAAAACATAATTTTTACTGCCCTATTTACTCTCATTTATGAATATTTGGAAGTGCCTCAAAAATCAACAGCATCATGATACTGTGAATAGTTTATTTACATAAATCAATTAATGAATGGCAAAACAGGTTGATAAACAAAATGCAGATTTTCCATCTACAATCATCATACATCATAGACTGTATACAAGTATATATAAGAAATATACTTATATATATATATATATATATTTAAATATGTGTATATGTGTATATAACATAAGCTACAAATCAATCTATTTAACTACGGCCATGAATATACAATATAACAAAGTTATATGGTCAAAATTTGCCGATTGGACCTTTGATGCCAGCCAGGGAACATGCTGTAAAACAATTTCACACCTGAAATACATGTGGAGAAGAAATGGTGTGAAACATGGTGCCTGATTTATCACTCGTTAACGGCCCAGAAAGACACCACAAAGAAGTTAAAACGAGTTTAAATGATTCATACTTAATATATTTTTCGATGTAAATGCTGTGGTAAAAAATGACCACTTTAAACTTTCTCAATTTAACATACAGCTCATGGGAGAACGGAAGAAGAAAAAACTACATTTCCCAGGTTGCAGTGCACATTCTAGTTGAAAGGTCGACGACGTCAAACCATGCGTCAAATTCATGCTGCCTGGAACAACAACAAACAGTTGAATTAGCTGGGACATTAACGTAGCGTTTACAACTGTTATTTATTTTGTGTTGGTATTGTAGCTCAGTGTTAGCAGAAATGTCCGGAAAGGCCAAGGATATCCTACAGATGGACCTGTATGGTTTACTCGGCATTGAAAGCACTGCTACAACGAAAGAGGTGTGTAAATGAAGTTAGCTAAGCTAACAGTTAAGCTAGTGACATAAAACGCCGTTACTGTTTAGTTAGCCGTTCTTTTTAGATTGTTGTTTTAGTGGACTGTTTATCCAACTGTTAGCTAAATGTTAAAAAGCAGTTGTGTTTCTACAAGGAGAGACTGTAAGTGTGTGAGGATATTTTTGCCTGGAAGCAGGAGGTTATGATAGCTTGCTACTATGGAGCTTGTATAAGTGTGTGTGTTTATATCGTGTGTCCGTGTATAACAACGTAATTTTTCTGTTTGGAGACACGTCAGATAAGTAAAGCGAGGAAATAAAATTTCGGTCTAGTGAGACCACCAGGTAGCCAACGACAGACAAACCTGCTGATGGCTGAATCGCAAAAAAAGGTGTGATACACAGAAAAGGCCGCTTAGTGGCGACATCACATCAGTAAAGTCTTTGGTATCGGTATAGTGAGGGTGGATATAATGTCTGGCACTGCAACCAACTGTTGTCATCATCAATTAATCGGTCTGTTATTTTTTATCGTTTGGTTTATTAATTGTAAAAACAGTACACATTTCCCAAGGAGATGTCATCAAAGTGCTTGTTTTATATGACAAAAAGTCAAAACCCCAAAGATATTCATCTTGCAATGATATAAAGCATAGAAAATAAGCTAATTATCACAGTGGAGAAGCTAGTAGCATGAAATATTTTGCATTTTTCTTTAAAAACAATTAAGTGATTATTAAAAAGTTGCCAAATATTTTTTTGTCACTGGAATAATCAATTAATTAATTGAGTAATTAAAGTAGACTAAATAAGTTGTTTCAGCGCTAAGACATTCTAAATAGTATGGATGTGAACAGAGCTGCAACGATTAGTCGATTAATCGAGTAATTGTCACCTGTTAAGTTAATCGGCAACTATTTTGTTAAATGATTAATCGTTTTGAGTCTTTTTTTTAAGAAAAATGATCAACTTCTCTGATATCAGCTTCTCAAATGTAAATATGTTCTGGTTTCTTTACTCCTCTGTGACAGTAAACTGAATATCATTGGGTTCTGGGCGAAAAAAGAGACATCTGAGGACGTCGCTTTAGGAAACACTGCAATATTTTTCACCATTTTGTGGACCAAACAACTAAAAGATTAATGAAAATAATCGTTAGTTGCAGCCTTAGATGTGAATTTATTTATTTATGGTTTTGAGTCTGCCAACTGAATGTATATTCCTTATCTAAAATTTAACCAACATAATTGATCACTTACATTGTAAGTGAGGAGTGGCAATATGATTGCGTCTGATAACGCTTGAACAATAAATTTTTTGGGGGCAGGAGTTCCTCAAATACTAAGCACAGCTTATTTACAGAAGGTTACATCTGTTTTTGGACCTCTACATACTAGAAAGAGAATATTGCCTGAATGATATTTTGTGCCTGCATGGATTTCCAATCAACTCTGAGAAGGTTCCCTTCTTCATTTCCAGCCCAGAGCTGAATCCAGCCTTTTCCCTCCGACCACCTCTCCTCACAGTTTCCAGCATCTAGAATCCACAGGCCCAAAGGGAAATTAGAATCGCTGCCAAAACGAGGGAAGAAGTTAATTTCTTAATTGGATTTCAAAGTCCTGTCCTCCCCGGAGGATTATCCTGGAGGAAGTTAGTGGTTGTGGCTTGGGTAGAACTGAAACTCCCAAATGCAGAAGGCTGATTCTGTGAGGTCTGTTGATGGTCGAGGGAGATAGAAAGGGTTTGTGTGTGTATGTGTGTACGTATAGTGCATTGAGTCCGGAGGGAAGAGAATCAATCAAGTGTGTGAAGACAGATGTCATCAGATGGGCTACTTATCCCAGTTGTTTGGCCCGCTGCGCCACCACTATCAGGCATGTTGTTTATCACAGAGGAGGAGTGGGGGGGGGCTCACCCCAGGGCCTGTTTATGTGGGCTTAGCCACAGCTTGTAAAACATTGCATTGACGTAGGGTATGCGCGTTCTGCATCTCCTCCTGGTTCTATTTAGCATCTCTTTCTGTTATCAGTGCTGTTCACCTTCTTCTGAGCTTGGCTGGCTGATAAATGGTGATGGAAACTGGCATGTCCGAGTCTATGATTTAATGACAATGGATGACTGGGGTTTCCTTGTAGCGCTGAGGGAGGCTTTTGCAGGAGGCAAAAGAGTTTAAAGAGTTATACTGATGCGTAGCTTGTGTGTTTTACCTACCACAGATATTGCTTGGTGAAACAATGTCAACAGCCAAGACCACACATAATTTCTTGTGGTTTATTCAGCTACTCAAATTGTAGTGTACCTGATGTGTTGCCGTATAGGCAGTTACTACAGAGTCACTGACAGAGCAAGGAGAGGCGATTGCTTTACACTGGAGTAGCACATTATAAGCTCACTGCTCTCAATGATGAGTTACTTCTTAGCTTCTTTCTGCTTGCTCAGGGCAGGCAGGTTATGATTGTTACTGCATCCGACGGTGCACTTTGCACATCATCAGTGATTTAACGTGTAGTCCGCAGGTGTTTTGGGCCTTTCAACATCAGACAGCTTTGCCCAAGCGATTTACATTCAATGCATTCATCTGTGTTCCAGAGTTACACAGTTTTTTATTACATCAGGCAACATGACATAAAAACCTGAGCTAGTTTTCAATTACCGTTGGCTTAGAAACAGTTTGCTCAGAAGAACTTTGTAAAATGATTGCAGAAAGATAATGACATCTCATCTTCATACCATTCCATTTAAATTAAATATGGGATAATATTGCATGAATGCCCAGTTCGTCAGGAGGTTTGATCAGGTTCACAAGCACATGGGAAGTCAGAGTGTTTCACTTTCTCTTCATTACATCCAGTTTTTCTTCATACTCTCAGCTCTCCTTTTTTCTGTGTTCATGTCCTCTTTGCCCCTGTCCTTGCTTATCTCCTCCCTTCTCCCTGTTGTGCCTGTTATTATTTTCCTCCAGCTGATAATGTCCTGTAAATAGCAGAGTGTTGTAATTAAGGAGGATGGGCCCATGGCAGATCAGGCAGCTAATCAGCCACACAAGCTAGGGGCCTTACCCAGGCTGTGCTGCGGCTTCACCAGAGTTCTAGTTTGTCAACTATAATTGGCAACAAAGACTGGTGTAATGAGGACAAGATGTGGGCATGCAGTTCCGACTGTGGCAAGCAAGGATCAGGGAGGCACAGAGGGTCTGTTTTTCGCCATGCACTAACCATTAGGCTACTGTAGCCCTGCTGCTGCATGATTGGAGGCTTTCCTTGATTTCTTCCTTCTTACGGCAACCAAAGTGTGGGAAACAGTTGAAAATTGAGTGTGTGAGCCAAGGAAAAGGGACATGCGACAATCTAGAATAATTAGAATTGGAAGAAATAGAAGACACCACATAAATATTAACATATTTGCTCATCTATAAGCACAAGGGACAGCTGTTGATTTTAGCCTCTTATGGTTTTCTGTCCATGTCTAACTCAGAATTGATCCAAGAGCCAATCCTAAAGGGTCATGGTGACCTGCACAAAGTTAATTGCTAAAGTTATTGACTGGAATAGTCCTGTTGGAAGATGCCACTCTGACCTCTTATCCACACATATGCTAACCTCTTCAAAAGTTGGCCTGCTTCGGCTTCTAGTGTGCAGGACCAAGGGGCTGCAGGGGCTTCCAGCATCAATTAAGGCTTGCGTGTTACGGCATTGATGGGAGTAATCATGTATTATTAACCAAAACCTCACTGGAGGCGCAGTAGAGACAAGATATTGTGAAGGATGCTAGAGAGAGTGAAAAGGAAAAGACAGGAGGAGGGGAGGGAGAGAAAAACAAAAGGAGGTAGGAAACCTGAAGAGAAGAATGTGTGTTAACAGCATATTTAACTGAACTCAGAATGACAAAAGATGAGGACACACAACATGGCCACTCAGCACCAGAACAGCATCAATGAAGACAGTTTGTACTTGTCAAACACCTCAGCTGGCCAGACGTTTTTTTTCCTGACATCTGCTATGTTTACAGCAGATGTGGAGACGTGTTTATCTTGTCAGCTGGCTGCAGGTGTTGAAGAACATGAGAACTAGAGTGAGTGTAAACTGAGGACATGGCAAGAGCTCTTAAAGGACCATAGCAGTGGTTTTGTTTTAACTTCACAGGTGCGAACAGTGTTACTTTACTTTATATTAATATATATTTCTTCCATTCCAGGCATCCATTGGTTGAAAGGAATTACAATACAGTAAGCATTTAGTTTAGTCAAAACTGCGTTATTGTTGTGAGGTAATGGAGTGCAGACTTTTTTCCTGTTAATCAATCTGCACTTAAACTGCATTACCACTGACAAACAGTGACAAAAATGAATGCAGACATACTGTGATGGACTACACAACTCAAGAAAGTGCTAGTGTATTATAACTGCTTTTCAATAACCAATAACTGCTCGGTGCGGTAGGGGAAAAAAAACAACTTCAACTGTATACCTGTATACAGATGAATTTTCTTACTTGTACCTTACCAAAAGTCTATGGAGACTTAGACAAAGCTATGACAGCGAGTGGCGGGAAAAGAAAAAGAAGAATCCGACAGAGGGAGGCTAAAAGGGGGAGTGGGCTTAGGCCAACAGTAAGCGTACGTGTCTGGCGCCAGTCTAGCCCTGTCAGTCTTGATCTGTAGGAAGGCGCTGTGTGCCAAGCAGCCAGACTAAATATCTCTTAATGAAGTCTAGTCTGTCAAAGCCCTCTCAATGAACCAAGTTCTCATTTACTGTTGGAACTATAACAAGAAAAAAATGTAACATTGACCAAGATACAGTAGAAAGGACTTGTGATGTTTAGGAGCTGTCTGAGCCATGTTAGTCTCCAGAGGGCTCACTGGAGACTTGTTGCTTCCATATAATCACGTGGAGGCTTTGCTCTTGTACTTTAGACAATAGGCATCTAGCCTAATGTGTCTATGTTGACTGTCATGGGGAGTCAGTGGAGTTTCTGCTAAAAAGACACTGATGGATTACACCTTTCCGTTCAGTTCCCTCAAAGTTGAGTTTTGTTTCCCCTCCCCAGTGAAGTCGGCTCTGTGTGCTTTGGCATGCATATTAGAGATACAATTCTGCAAAACAACACAAAGGGAAACACTACATATGCCAGAGCGCAAAGCGTCCAATGCAAACGTTTCCCAGACATGAGAAAAAGAGCTCCCAAATTCTGTGGCCTGTAGCATACTGGCAGGAGATTGATTTGCGCTAAGGGGGGTTATATGAAAACATGCAGAACGTTGGCATTGCTGATTAAGACTGGTGAGAAAGTGTAGCCTATGTCTGTGCGTGTTTCTGTCTGAGCTTGGATATATAGGGGATGTTTGTGCCAATTCCTTAGCATGCAATGCAAATATGTGAGCGTGTTTGCAGAAAGTTTCAGCGCTGCACTCTATAGCCCCCTCTGGTCTCCACGGAAAGTTTTCCTGCTTCCCTTGTTTGTCCAGAGGAGCGGAGATCTAATGAAAACCACCTTGTCATTAACTGGTCCCTAGAAGGACCAATGAATGGTTAACATTCCACCCAGTGACCCAGAGTTAAAAAATCAGCTATAACTAAAACCTCATATGCCATTACAATACTCCAAAGTATTGTTTAATTTTTCCACTTTGGCTCTCCGAAACCCCCCAAAAGTTTTGGCTACCAGCCTAAGATATTAATGGCGGACTTCTCAGATTTGTTATAGACAATGGCACTCTGTTTGTGTATGTTATTGTAACATTTTAAGTCTGAATAAAGATAGACTAATACTAGGCTGAGACTCAGGCCACATTTATCTAGAAAACTGGCAGTGGGCCTGAGAATAGTTTGGAATTCTTGTGTGGGTAATTCACTGTGCAGTGTGAGTCCATTAATAACATGTCAGAAGGACACGAAGCAGGGGATCGGCTCAGGTGTTTATTTGATCCAAACAATACATTCCCAGATTTATATTTAAATTCAGACCACATTTCATCCCCGGTGCTTTCATGTCAGGACTCATACCATTGTGCCATTATTTCAATGGGACCATCATTTTTTTATTCAGACTTTGGTTTTTGTGGGCCAAGGACGACAGGATAAAGATAACTGGTACTGAGAGTAGGAATTTTAACTTTCACATAGCCAAAACCTGTGCTTAAGTGGATGATTCGCCTTCCTTGTGTCCTAATTTACATTTTCCATACTACATAACTCTAGGGTTTGTTCTGTTTTTTTTCCTAGATTAAGAAAGCTTATCGACAGAAAGCCTTGACCTGCCATCCAGACAAGAACCCAGACAACCCAAAAGCAGGTGAGCGAGCCAGTTAATGTTTGTTTGTTTCTCTTCACTTTCTCTCCATCCTGAGCCTCAGACCTCTGTCAGCCACACAGTAGAAATGGATCAAGATGTATTATTTGTATATCCAATTTCTGCATTGTTTTTGAAAGAATTAGGATTAATCATCTGACCGAGCGGCCATCAAACTTTAAATGCTAGCGCTCTCAGCAAGTAATTCCCTGCCAGACAGCCTCACCACAGCACTCTGCAGGAAGTCTAACCAGCGCCTGTTTCGCCCGCCAGCTTTCTAGCAAGACGTGACCAGCCAAGCACCACTGCCACCACCAGTGTTTCCACACTCCGTCCCTGCATGGCTTTATGAGTCCTTCCGCAGCCAGTCGCCAACCAGCATGTCAATAATTAGACCAGGAAATCTCAGTGTAGCGCTTTGTCAGGAGAGGGGAAATAAAAGGCACCTTGGACAAAAGACTGGTCATGAGGCATGTTTTGAAGTGAGGTTTATGTGGTTGCTGGATGGTTCAGACAATTCCTGATTATGTCAGGGAAAAAAAGGGAAATTGGTGGGGTTGGGTGGTTGAGAGGGATAATACAAAAGCAGGGGGTCGGTTTCCCAGAAATGGAAAAGCAGCGGTTTGGAGGGCCTCAACACTTGAACCCGCACACAGACAGACTCGGTCTCTATCGCACGAGAGCAGCGAGTCTTGTTGCCCCTCAGGGGGAAGGTTGTGTGCATATAAGAGGTGACTTGGGGGTCATGATTCCACGCTGACAGAAGACACCCCCCATTATTCCACTCATTTTCCTTAAGCCCCCATGTTGTGACAATCTGAGCTGCCTAGTGGGCATGGCAGGTTTCCCCCAGTTGGATTTCATTCCAGCCCATTCTGTGCATTTAGGTAACCTGAGCGCCTCTGCTGGCAGCGTGATCTCCAGAGCCTCCCATTAGCGTTCTCTGCCAGTCCCATAGGGAGTAACAGTATCGGTCCGTTAGGCCTCCCATAAGTGAATGATTAAGCCTGGCGAGTATAGTGAAGTAGTGTGGCGGCTGTATGATGGGGAGTGGGATTGTGGTCTCCCTGTGTACATTTGTGTGTGTGTGAGATGACAACTAGGGAGGTGAAGTCTTGTGTGGTAGCAGTGATTGAGGCAGTGGCCCCTCGAGGTGCTCTAATGGACGATAGACGGAGCGGCCAATGGTTTGTGAAGGAATGCACTGCTCTGTCATCTGAGGAAACAGGTTTCGTGAGACTTACAGCACATTTTAAAGCATAAAATGTCTCAGTTTGTCTCAGCCCCATGTCCTAGCTTCAGCATGAAGATATCACACTGAGCACATAATGCCTCTTTTTGCATAAGCCCCCTCTAGATGTCATGTTCTCTTCACATCAACATCACCCTCTCTCTTCTGTCTCTTGTGAATAAGGTGTCAAATTGGCAAAGTAAAAACTGGTGTTATATCATTGTGAAATCATAGCCCTGTTTTTGTTTTTAAAGATCATATTCCACATGTAAAACATTGTTTCCTGAAGCAATAATGTAATGCATTCAAGAGCAGCATTTTCAGTTTTCTTGCTGCTCTCATCCCTTTCTTCTAGTGGAGCTCTTCCACCAGTTGTCCCAGGCTCTTGAGGTGCTAACTGATGCTGCTGCCAAGGTAACTCCTCTAACACCTCCGAACTTGTCATTAAAGCGCGATAAACGCAGACAAATTCATCCTGGTGTGTAATGCTGTTTTCAGGCTGCCTATGATAAGATTTGCGCTGCCAAGAAACAAGCAGAAGAAAGAAACAGGAAACTAGATGACAAGAGGAAGAAAATTAAGCTTGGTAAGTCACTTTGTAATTCTCGAAGTATTTCAAGGTTCTTGATTCACTCGCTATTAAAAATGATTATTGTGTTGGCTTTGTGAAGGTTGTATTTAAATCAAGTCGTCCATATTCCAGAATTAACACAAGGACTGAGCTTTGCTAGAGAAGTGCTAAGGACAGCTGCATGACCTGTCCTGTATGAATTAAGAGCAGCTGTTAGACAGTAACCAGTTATTTAACACTGTTTCATTGTGGAAAAGAGATTTAATATGAGTATATGTAGGACAGATGACTCATCTGTGTGTGTGTGTGTGTGTGTGTGTGTTGTTATAACAGATTTGGAGTCCCGAGAGCGACAAGCAGAAGCTCACAGCCAGGAGGAGGTGCAAAACACTAGAACACTTGAGGAAGAGGTAAGAGAATTTAAAGAAACCATGTGAGAGATGATACAGCACCAAATGTTGCCTGGAGAAGATGTAGAAAATAAAATAACAAATGCAACGTACTTCAGGTGTCAGCTGTGTACTAGGAACAAGGTATTCCAGTGCATCCAGGAAACTCTGAAGCACACCCAGGTGCTTTTAGTCTGTTTTTCGTCAAATGCTCCATTCGGATTGATTTGAAATCTTCCACAGACTTGGGTCAGGAACAAAGGCTGTATCTGAGAAAGGGGCTTTTTTTTCCACTGCCATCATAATTATCAGTAAACCCATTAAGTGATATTGCATGACTTGATGCACTTTGTTCAGAAAGCCAATGATAAATAAAAATGGTGTGCATGCTTCCAACGTGAGTCATGGCATGTGCTCAGTGTGCTTAATGCATGTAAATATGTTGCCTTGCCTGGGAGTGGGAGGAGGTAACCAGTAGGTGGCACTGTTCCATTTGGTGTCTCATCCCAAGGTGTTATTGCTTTAACTGAAGAAATAAGGTGATCTGCATATTCTTCCAGAAACACAGGTTAGCAGAAACGGTGTTTTAGAATGGGAGAGCCATACAGGTGATAAATTACGTCCGTGCTTAATGAAGAGTAAAGATGCATAACCTGCTGTCACCCAAAACCAGTATGTCTGTGTACATTACTTTATTGTCAATGTCTGTTTCCACCAGATTGCCCGTTTGAGAGAGGAGGGATCCAGGCAGCTTGAGGAGGAACAGAGGCTCATCAGAGAGCAGATACAGAGAGAAAGGGAAGCGCAGCAGCAGCAAACAGAAGGCTACACTCAGAGCAGTAATGTCCACTTCAAGTTTTAACCTAGCCCAGTCTGCTCTAGTCCACGTTAACCAAACCAATTCACTGCCACCCTGTTCTGCCTGGATAAATCCAGTTTGATCCAGTGAAGTTCTTTTACAATCCTGAAAGCCTCAGCTGAGTGAACCCCCATGTTTCCCAATGACCATTCTGTCAGTCCAACCACAGCAGTCTCCACGCACCCTGTGGTTTACCAAATAACGTTCACACAAATGACAATAACTGAATGTATATTTGAATTTATGTTTTGTTTTAAAACATTTTCAAGAGGTCTGTTTTATTTTTTTGTCAGTAAGACAACTTGGCAAGATTAACATAGGAATGCCAAGCACCACGCACACACATAGCTGTCCATCAGACTCTTAACCGCTTGATAATATTTTTGCATTAAAGCCTCGGTGTCTCCATTCTGGAGACATGAAAAAAATGAGGAGTCTTGTAAAATAAGACCATGGAAGTGTGTGTATTTAAGGGGAATTACTGATTCTTGGACATAGACTAGACCCGTTTTTGTGGCTTGACAATTACTCATGCATAGCCAGCACGTCTTTTGAGTCTCTTCCATTTGCAAGCAGTCATGGCCTCCCCAGCCCTCCCACTCTTGTCTGTTCCATCTCAAGAGGCGCTCAGTGGATCATCAGACTGTACATAGGCAGGCCATACATTTACTGCGTGACAGCCCGTTTAAAATTACTGTCCATCTGGATGAGTCCCTCGCCTGGTAATTCCATATATCTTGCCTCAACAAGACAATTGTTTCTTTGTCTTTTCACGAAACTGTCTCATCTCTCCCCTCATGTTTCCCCCCAGACTCAGGAGTGGAGAGATGTTCCAAGAGCAATGTGACCCCCAAATTGAAGGTAAGGCTTTGAACTCTCAACACGGCTGGGAAGAGAAGTCAGGATGAGCAGTTGCAGTTCTTAGAGAATAATGCAGAGAGATGGAAAAGAGAAAGGGGGGTCCTGCATATTCTGGAGGAGCTGCTCCATATGAGTGCAAGTGCAGGCAGAATGTCTGGATTTTGATAGAACCTTTGTTATATTTGTAATCCACATACGCTGTCTCACCACTGAGCACACGTGCTGTTCTAACTCTCATTCCTCCAGAGTAGGCCCGATGTCGTCAAGAGACCTGTAACTATGCCAAGAGAGGGCTTATTATATTTCCTCCTGGAGACGGCCAGGCCTGTGCAAATTAACGGACGCTAGGGATGTTAGCTAATGTGTTTAGACATTAAATCTGGTTTTAAAATTTGATAGCCATCTAATGCAGCAGTGTATTCCCTGACATTTGTGTATTCAGTTAGAAAAACAAACAGCAGCCGTAAGACTGACAGAATCACGTGTAAGTTCAAGGACATGGGAACATTACAGCATAGATCTGTCTCAGAGGCTGTTGAGATGTGTCTACTATTTAAAAATATTAAACTTAATCTTTTGCATCCAATTTTTTTTTGATTAAGGTCTTTCTTATGTTGTCTCTAGAGAGTGTGTTCACTTTGTTTTGTTCCCTGTCCAGTAAAAGTAATATTATATCTTTAATCTGGTTCACAAGTATCTGGGTATTCAAGATTAAACCTGAATCCTGCATTGATGGATTGGAGACTATTGCAATTAATCTGACATCAATTGTTCCTTAAAACAAATCTCAGTGACGTTTGACATTGTGGAAGCTCTTTGAAAAGTGATTTTCATTCTACACATTATTCCTCTGATATATTCTGTTAACTAATTTTTAGTGTTCACAAAGTAAGTCAAAATCAATAGCAGAAAGAGCCATTTGGTTTAGTTCCATTAATATCTTTATCTTTCCTATCTGTATATTTATTGAAAGTTAGGAGCAGGAGTACACAGCAGTGCGTCAGTGTCAGTGTTGTGGACTCGTAGACATCACATCATGCAAAAAACATCTTATTCGAAGATTAATGGGTAAGAAGGTTATCGGCGGGCACAGGAGACTGCTCTTGGAAGGAGCATGGATGTTTTCAACTGTAATTATTGGTAAAAGAAGCTATGTAGACATGGAAATTCCCAGAAATCCTGTTTCTCTGACAGTGAGCAGAATGCTGGAGCTGAATCAACACTTAGTGCTTGCCATTTATAATGCTACTTGAAGCAGTTAGTGTGATATTGGCTAGACGTTGCTGTACTTTGTACATGGATACGCAATATTTGTTTTTATGAGTACGGGAACTCGCATCAGAGCTTAGTGACAGAATTCCAAACAAGTGAAAAAAAATGTGATAAATTATCTTATCTTTTGTGGAAGCTGTTCAGCAGGGAGTTATCCATAAAATAGCTGAATGGTAATTTCTAAAGCAGCATTTACACAGTGCAATATGGCAAATATCAAGGAATAAGTAAAGACACAGAAACATTGTTAGACAGGAAAAAATGTTAACCACAGCAAACAAAGACACAACATATTCAAAAAGAGGACTTCCTCTCATTCTGCCCACGACAGAGTACCTTGGGCATCAACCTGCTTCGGATTACTTATTGTAGTGATTATTGCGTCTGGTGTTGTGCTTTATTGTGTGGAGCTATAGCCAAGCTGGTGAGTCACCATGTATTCTCAGGTCCAGGGCTCCGTGTGATAAGTTTCACCCTTTTTATCTATCCGTCACTCCCATTATGAATGGAAATTGACTGCAGGTCTCCTGTCTGTCCTGTAAATTATAGTAATCTGTGTGTCAGCAGAGCCAAGCCTGCCCGGCATGCTTTGTCTCCTGGTCAGCTGTGTTTAATCAATTGTGCTCGAATGATTAGACATTATCATGCACTTCTGTAATTCTTGAAAGTCCTCATGAGTAATGTAGGCCTCTCCCTCCTGTCTTCTTTCTCATTCCAGTTAAAGTGGAAGTGTAAAAAAGACAACGAGGCGAATGGAGGCTACTCTGAAGACATTCTTTTCAGACTTCTACAAAAGGTATACATCCTGAAAACCTGTGCCACAATGTTACAAGACTAATAATTTATACAGCAAAACACTTGTCTTTCCTGTAGGACAACACAGAGTTACAGTAAGGTACAATTTTTGGTTGGGCAATATAATTATATGTACCTTGAGAGTACTGAGGTAGCTATATATTTAATATATCTGGCTGTATTGGAAATTGCAGGCAATGTTGTAAATTAATGAGCATGACTGCTTTACAGGAATTTTGTATTTACAAGAATTGTGCATCAATGTGATGAAGTACTTTAATACGTGAGGTCTTTAATTGACTGGATTAACCAAAAACAGACTTTCCCATCTGGGTATTTAATCTGTGAATTGTTTGTAATTAAATGTTCAGAATTTCTATTGCAATATAAAATGACATATACTGTATAAGGATTGAATTTTTTCTCTCTATCCTCGCTGTCCCAAAGCAGATATCCACAGTTAAAACATTTTAAAAACCTGCCCGCAGAGTCCGGCCATATTTGAGGTCTGCATGACATCAGCGCTGTAGATTTTTTTTATTCTTCCCCTTAAACAAGGCCCATTAACTTTTGTTGCAGTGAAAGTGCTGAGGGCAATGTTGTAGTGCCCTCTTAAAGCCGTGCACGCCATTGTTTGTGCCCCTCTTACCAGGTGATTAAGCAGTGCCAAGGGAGGCATCAGGAAATGTGCTCTTCTCATGCAACCCAGTACCACCTTGTGCTATGATCCGTCACAGGGCCTTTGGTGGGGAATAGGTTGGCTCGGAATGAGGAGAGGGCAAGTGTCACTGACGTCAAGCTGTCCGGAAAAAGGCGTTTGAATTTCTCCTCTGCACGAACTCAGAGTATGGTCCCAGGCAGGAGGGCTGTGTCATAATAAAGACTGTGGGAAAAATTGTTGTTCCTTTTTAAATTCTAAAGCAAAAAGAATTTAGGCAGAAATTGTGTTTGAGATGGCAAGCGCCAATGAGTGATAGTTAATGGTTTAGGCAAGTAGAAATAGCCACCACTGCGTGGGAAAGCAAGTATACGTGTGCGGACTTGTGTACTTTGGCTGCTTAAAATAATGTGTCTTCGTTCGGGTGAGGGGTGGACATGTTAAGATATTTATATTTTATGAAACAGAGGTATTTTGAGAGTCTCCTTTGTCACTGTTGGCTTGCTCCAGAATGTCCTTACTAAGCATCAGCATTCCTGGACTTTCCCGTTCCCAGAAAGCTACATTTTCACATGATGGATTTGTCAAAGGCTACATCCGTCCTACTCTTTGCTCCCATGCCTCTGCTTTAGGCAGAGACAGGTTACTGACAGAAGGCCTCGTTTATAGGTGATACAAACCCTGAGGTATTTAAAAAAAAAAAAGTTTTCTCTGAAATGGCTGCTAAGAAGTGTTTATAGCCTTCCTCCGCTTCTCTCCATCTCTCTCAGACAACGACCAGGAAATGACTGAGATGCTCTTCGCCCTGCTCCCCTCTTTGGCCAACCTTTCCTCCCTGTTCTGATTTCTGGCAGGGAGTTGGATGAGAGCCACATCTAATTTCAGCTTCAATGCCAAAATGATTGTTTATCAAACTGTTGTCACTTCACAAGGAGGAACTAAAATGATGACATCCAGTATTGCTTCTTGTTTCTTTTGAGAAGTCACAGAGGACTCCCTTTAGTACATGATGTTACTTGAATGTTCTTTGCAGTATTACTGGCTTGGTCCCAAACATACGAAGCCTATCGTTGGAGATTAAGTTTAATAACGAAACACATATTGAATCCTAACTTTTATTCCAGAAGTCTGTTATATTCACCCGTGTTTTGAGTTTTTCAGTCTGCATGTGCTTTGTGTTTTTGTGGTTATGGGTTGTGCTGTGAAAGGAAATACTAATTTGAATGTTCTGCATCTCTCCTCTTCCTCCATTTGACTTTTCGTTTATTCTCCCATTTCTTACCTCTAGTACGGGGATGTTTTGAATGTGATTTTATCGAGTAAGAAGAAAGGAAGCGCTGTGGTTGAATTTGCAACTGTGAGAGCAGCTGTAAGTACCTAACTCTTCTCCAGCCAGTGTCCTCATTCTGTTGGTTCAATCATGGCAATATTTTTCCAAAGCAGACATTTGCAAGGAACCACATTTGTTTACCACTCACTTCCCTCGAAGTTTCAGGTCACCTGCTGAGTTTGAGTATAACTAAGAATGACATCTGTCATAAAGACTTCCCAGCCTCAGGATAGTTTCTGCGACCTAAGCTAATGTTTTAGTCAGTTACTGGGAAACATTGGACGGAAGGACTTAAGCCACCTCATTGTTCCACACTGTCTGGATCCTCTGGCCCTTTGTCGTGATGGTGTACTTTTTTTGTTGTGGCCTCCTCACCACAACGTGTGGTTTCACTCCAGAGAACACGTCTGCCAGTCTACAGGGATCTGGGCACAGGTTCTGCGGTCCCTGCCTGCTCATCTCCAGGTCCCATCCTTGCTCTGGGAGTTAGCCCAGTTTCAATCTACCTTTGTCCTTGTCTACATGTGTCTTTCATATGTGTAATATACCAACAGACCCACTCCCAAAACAAATCCCAAGGTGTAAGAGGGATACAACATAAATTTCCCACATTTCAGGACAGGCATTCCTAATGAAATACTGACAGAGAAACCATCAGAAGATCTACTCACAGATTATTTTGTGTTTTTAGGAGCTGGCCGTTAAGAATGAAAGTGGCTTGAGTGAAAACCCCTTGAAGATTTCTTGGCTTGAAGGACAGCCTGAGGTTATTGCACCAGCATCTCAACCTGGCCAGTTCACGTCTTCACAGGTACCAGTATCATCTGAAAATGCATCGTTGTAATTCCCTGCCTTCCATAAAGAATGTCGGCCCTATGTTATAAAATCTTCCCATGTACACAGCTTCCAACACAAATACTATTGCCTAAACACTGTCCCACAAAGAGAGGTATGTAAACCTTCTGAGGTTTTATTTTCGTATCAGTGGTGCAAATATTGCCACAGTGCTTGCACTTCCCTCGTCTGGCCTAGAACAATGTGTTTGGTTAAATGGGCCTCAGTTTATTGTGTTTGGAGTGGTGAGGTACTGGCCCAAAGCCCCTGGTTGGGCGCTCATTAACAAGCCTGACCTGGGAGACCCCAGGAATGCTGGGCTTCACATAGCAATGCAGAAGGAGCATGAGCAATAATGGTAGCCTGGCACATGAGACTGACAATATTCCTGCTTTGGTGCCCTGTGAGGCTTGCAGCTGGTGTTTCTATATTGCTATTAGGGCTGTACATATCCATTATTTTTCAAGTCGATTAATCTAACAACTAATTTTGTTTATTCTAAAGAAAGAAAAGTTTCCTATTACTCGATTAACAAACCAATTTATCCAAAATAAATATCAAAAACATGTCTAATCAATAAATCTATATTTTATTCAATCATCCTGATGAAACACATCAGAATAATGACAATAGCAGCAAATCTTAAAATGAATCAAATTTCCACGTCACTTATGTGTAACGATACCTGAAAGGACTCAGACTGTCCAGTCACAGATTGTCTGTAATTAGATTCAGCTGTTTTCTCGCTGATACGTAGCCGTTAAATAAACAGAAAATATGAAACAGCCGTTACCATGACAGCAGCGGGGCAGAAATTACTTTTAACATGAAGGCAATGAAGAAATACGTGTCCTCGTGCTGATAATGTGCCGTGCTTGTGTGGCAACAGAAAGTAATCACGATTTGCGGTGCTGCCGTCTAGACAAAGTGCTCCGGGATACTTTAGTTTCACGTGTTCGTGCTGCTTCACGTATTCGTGGACAGCAGTTGTGCTGCAGTGAAGCTGTTTCCAGTTCACAGAGCTCACCGAGCAGTACGTTGTTGAGTGTCTGTCTGAAATACTCCAAACTTTAGACGGTCAAAGGCGCGGTCTTGTAGCTGGAGCTTGTCCGGGATAATCCCACACCGGATGCAGCGACGCGTCGACGTATTTACGTAATCGATTACGTCGACGAATCGCCCCAGCCCTAATTGCTATTAGATAGATACATTTTCTATTTTTTGATTTTTCAAATTTAAATATTTCTGGGTGTTTTGGGTGGAATGTAGTTTTGTAGGAATGTAGTCTCATTTTGAATTTGAATGATTTTCTTTCTGCGGGTCAAAGGTTTGCTGCACAGAACTAGAATGCTTTATTGAGAAATCTTAAAACATTTTACCTCTGATGTGTTGCCTCTTGTTATTTCAAAATCACAGTAGTCCATAGTGCTGTCTCCAATGACTTTTATAATTGATTTGCACGCCTAATATTTTGGCTTTACACTTTTCCTATCCAAGAATAATCGTATTTCAGCTTTATCCACTGTGGGTCTACAACAGTTTTCTACATTAGATTAGTGTGAAGCAATGTTTTTTTCCCCCTGAGGTGTCCATTTTACTACGTTGTGATCTTTACCTGTGTGTGATTGCAGATCTGTAGACACTCTCTGTCTCCAGAGCTGCTGCTGCTGAACTGGGCTTCACCCCTCAACCCAGTGCAGTGTCTCAGACCACCTGGTCAAGGCTAGCTAGCATGTGAGATTGGGGCTGCACACTGGGACTTGTCACTCTAATCTTTTTAAATGTTATTATGGTAACCCGGATTGCCGTACAGATATCCAAAAGTGATTGCTTCATTTTTTTTGTCCAGCCCCTGAGAATGAAAACATTACTATGGCCAGGTAATTTTCGCATTCGCCCTCAGCGAGATTACCTCTCGCTAAAGAGGCCCCACATGACATAATGGGGGAGCCAGTGTAGATATTAGTAATGTTGTTCCACATCTGGCCTGGGCTTGGTGGACATGGGTCTTTTGAGAAAGAGAGATAGAGGTAATAAGAAGCCAGATCCTTGGAGGTCCGTCTCCTAGGAATCTATGTGAAATCTTAAAAATCATTCCTCTCCTGTCGTCTACCTCTCCATTGCTCCCCCACACCAACCAGCTGCAATCACATAGGAGCAGCTTGGGTGATGACTTGCTTCTTTAACCTCATCAATCCAAACATAGTGGTCATAGAGACAGGGTGTCATTACAGGGAGCTCAGTGACACAGGCTTATGACTTCAGCCTCAGCTTCAGTTCAGTTAGACATCATACATTAATCTTTTGTCTGATTTTTGCCAATGTGAACGGCCCAATGGTGTGGGGGCCACAAATTCCCCTTAAAGACACCCTTCAGGGTCTAAAGACCTTGAATATTATAAGAAACAGAACTATGCTGTAGTGTGTTAGATTTTCACTACTCTCACATAGAGACACTGTTGTGGAGACCTGTTGAACTGTTGGCTCTGGTTTGTTCTGCTTGTCCAGAAAGCCAAGATGACATGATTTATATCAGGGTCCCAGTAGATGCACCCAGTTTTTCTCACCATGGATATTAAAAATTTCAAAATAGGGAAGGACCATCTTTCACACGGTGTGGAATTGCTCCCCGCGCTCCTGACTTAATTCAGATCCCTCTTTTGGGAAAGGATCTAGTTTCATCTCCAGACTGTTCTTTGTTGTTTCTTTACCCTTTGACATAATAAACAGTCATAGTGGGAGATTGGGAAAGGGCAGGTTTATGAAAGAAGAGTGCTTAAGTCATTATCATTAGTGCAAGCAATTCTTATAGCATTGTATTGTACACAGTTACAAATCTCAGTGAATCATGAATGAGTCATGCTGCCTGAATGAACCTGAAGTAAAGATAATAAACAGTTGATTTATATTAATTGTGGCTTTTGCTAACAGAAACAGTGCAAGGCTGAGATACTGTGCATGTAAGTGCAGTGTTTAATGAGAACTGTAAATAGTTGCTGTATCAAAATATGATGTCACATGTGTGGCCGGCTTTATGGATTCCACAGAGTCTGACTACTGATATCTCACCTCCCAGCCTGTCGCAAATATGGAATCACTATATAACCGTCTGCTTTGTCTTTGCCAGACGTAACGTATGTGTCTCCGTAGATGTGATGCCATCATTAATCACTGGTTTGATTCATGGTTTTATTACGTAGTTTAGCTTAGCGTATTATTTAATGTGAATCTGTTGTAATGGATTTAAATTTGAGCTTTCTACTCCTGCTTCTTCCATCTAGAGCCAGAGAGTCATCGCAGGCTTGTCACGACACAAACCAGATGCAGCAGATCAGTTATTCTGGGATTGTTTTTCCAGCCCGCCAGTTTTCTAGTGCTTGAAAAGTGCACTCTCACCTAAAATAGCCCCTGGGTCTGGAAGAGATGTACTGTATGTGGCCGTGCTGTTGGCATAATCAGCCTCCTCTATGAATGGACATAACAGAGCTCTAAGAGGGAGACCAACAGGCTTCTGTATTTTGCTATGATCAGACCCAAAAAGAGTAGGGATGGGGATCGTTATATTTTATTGATATTGATACCCTTATTGAGACTGCTTAACGATCCGGTTCTTTATTGATAACACTATCGATACTTGAGGTAGGCCTGCAGGTATGAGGAAAATATTCAATGTGCTATAACTTTGTTATATATTCAGATGACATATGACATATGACATGCGATAAATAAACATAATATTGACGTGTGCATAGCTTCCTGGTTGTTAAATTAATTATAGGATTATAATTTAATACTGTAAATACAGCAAAATATTGTTTCTAGAGCAGCAACATACAACAGCAAAGTCACTATATAAAGTCAAAATCTGACATGACAATAGTGAGTGATGTTTAGAAATCAGTCTGTATCAGTCCCTCCTCTTCCTCCTCTCTGCTGTTAATCACTGCCTGCAGGTAATGTTACCTGGTGAAAGGAGGAACGGCTGGTTTGTCTCAGCCAGCAGCTGAGTTTTTAACAATGTGCCAAATTTTAAGACTACAGACCAGTCAATGCTCCAGACAGACATCTTTCTATTAGCTTAACGTAACATTTGGCTAATTGCCAAGTTAACGTTAGCTGTGCTTATATAGGACAAACAGGATGAGAGACTGAGGACAGAGCAGTTTAAAATGAACCCTTTCTACGTGTTTACCTTACAGACAGGTGTACTGATAAAGTGCTGTCTTGTTACGAAGGTTTTATTGCACATAAAGAGTGCAGCTGTCGGCAACTCGTTTAGTTTGGAGCTAACTTAACTTTACCGTCTCCACAGCAACGGAGCGACATCTGCGTCCCTTTTTTCAGGATGCTGTGCGTGCGAGACAGAGAGCAGCAGATCTGCAGCCTGATGTTAAACAGTCTCGGGCCGTTTAATACCGCGTTTCGGTGCCATCAAAAAATAAACATTAGTTTTCTTATCCATCGCGTTTCAAGATAAATCAGATTTGACGCTCGAGACATAATTACATTCTAGTCTCGATAGCAGTATCGATTAGCTCGGACCTTTTTCGGGTTTTGAGAAATTTTGGAACCGGGTCCTTTTAGAACCGGGTATCGATCCCCATCCCTAAAAAGAGGAAATCTTATTATGTGGAAGTATCACAGTTTTTGGTGGTCAGTACCTAATATTAATATTGTGTACCAGTTAGAATCTATATAGTAGAGAAATAGGCAGTATACCTCATGAAATGAGGTTGGCGCTGTTGGTGATGTATTGCTTATGAATAACATGACTCTAGAAGACCACACAGTTTATAGAAAAGACAGATTGGTTTAGGCTAGCTTGAAATACATGTGTTTTTGCATTTTCTTATTAGACACAGAATGAATTGCCTGGTGTGATTAGCGTGGTCAGAATTTCAAAATCAACCAGTTCATCATGCGTGTCATGAGAAGGGATAGCTGTTGTGTATTGCCATGTCTATAGTTTGATAATATGTTCTGACCATTCTGATATGATACAGACAGCATAAACAATATCAGTTTCACAAAATCTCCTATTGTGTGTGAACCCTTGTTAAACCAAGTGGCACATTCCAGCCGCATCAGGTTGTGCTGGGAGATGCAATTACGGCAGAAGGTCACGTCTCAAATTTGCCAAAGCAATATTTTTAGTTTTTTAGTTAGTAGCTGACACAATAAATAACCCATAAGAGCTACTCTTCAGTGAGATGACTGGGTTTCTTGGTGTTCTGTATGACGGCAAGTTTAGATTTTTGGAGGGAGAGAAGTGGTACCAGATGTGATTAGGATACTTCACAGCTCGGCCGGTTTGTGCAGAGCAGACAAGATAATTTGTCTGCAATTACAGGCTCTTTCTTCTCGGATCAGTCATGTGGCCGAACACTTGTTGAGCTTAAGTTTATGTGATTCTTCACGCTGAGAGCACTTTTGTGTAGACGACGGAGACATAGCAGCCAAGGACTCTTGAATGCAGGAAGCAGAGAGCAAATTTTTATTTTTGAAGGTTATAATGAATAAGGATGACTTTCATCAATGTGTTGACTATGTGTGTGGTTTTCGTATATGAAAGTGCATGAAATATCAAAATGTGTTAGTGTTTGTTTTTTAAAGTGTTTTTTGGTAACACAAGAAGTTGTTTCTACAGTGTCTGTCTGACATTACATAATTCTTCTTTCTCTTGAGTCTCTAATCGTTAAGGGCCATTGTAGCAGCCAGGGGAACACTATTCAGTGCAAAGTCTGTGTAACTTAATAGCTCGTTCTGCTTCTTATCTGGAAAAATTAGCCCGTATAGAAAGTCTGAGAAAATGCTGACACACCCTGGCTAGCTGATAGCTTTGTGATACAGGTGTGCCTCAGAGCAGGGCATGCCTTACAACTCAGCCGTTGCTTCAAGCTTCAGTTTACTAAAATACGGTAACATGTGACTCTACATGAAAACCTGCTTGACATGCCTGTCTAATTTAGACTTGTATGTCCTTGAAATAATATTGTGCTGCTTGTTGTGTTGGATTATCCAAGGCTATAATTCCTCTAGTAGCTGTTAGGTAGAAGTGACAGACAAGGCTTATTGCATCCCCAGTGGCTGCTGATGGTTAAAAAGCCAAATATCTGTCCATCAGGGTGTGTAAACAATCTCATACAAGTTCTCTTAAAATGTTGACACAAGCAGTTTTTTTCCACAAAACCACCAATTGTGGAATTTGAAAGACATTTTCTTTATTTTCCCAAAATACAAAAAGTAAATTTTTTTTTTTAATGTAAAAATGTTTCACAATGTGTTATTGTCATAACATATACAAGAAAAAGGCACAGTGATATCCAGTTTAAAATGGGAGATGCCAAAACAGATATACAGACGTGCAGACGTACCCACAAACATTGCCCTGTCTGTTTGGACATACATAGAATTCTAAATCTATTGCTAGAAACGGGACACTTGTGGTTTGTACATTTTGCAGTATGACCCATGGGGACCTTAGGAATTTGACTGGTTCTGGGTTTGCCCCAAAGCCTTTCCTGGCAACCCCCCACTAAGCCACAGACCGAAGCTCTGTCCTTACTCTCTCCTCTCCAGACCTGAGGAAAGGGGACCTCAGTTGTCTGCACAAATCTCAGGTTGACCATGTGTGTATACATGTACATGCATGTGTGCCAGCTTATGTGAGATGCATGCATGTATGTTTCGCGTGTCGGGGGTCTGTTTGGTCAGAAGGTAGTGTTTAAACCCTCATCAGGACTTTTGCTGCCGTAATGGATGTCTCTGGTTCTCCTCCCTCGACACCCCCTACATATGTGGAAGTATCACATTTCTCTTCACCACTTTCCTTCTCGTGCGCCACTCACCAGAGCATCGGACTCTGATTTGCAGCTAAGAAAACAGTATGCTTTTTTTTTTTTTTTATTCTTAGGTCTCGGACCTGTGGCCTGTCTTGGTCTGCAGCCCAACCTGCCACTACTGGCTGGCTTTTATTGGAAGCAGAGCTAAGTGTTTGTTTTCACTGCATTGTTGGGAATGAGAGATGGGGGGTACCTTGGTCTACCTTTGAGTGGGGCCTCTGGGATGCGTGCGGAGGAGAAATTGCCCTCTGCACACAATAGATTGGCAAGCACGCCAAGAGCCAAGACATCACAGCTCGAGGACCTTGGATTCCAGCCGCAGCTTTTCTTTTCTTAAACACAACACTCTTAAGTCTTAACAGCCGTCTTCAGTGCTGTGTTGTGTGGTTTGGGTGAAGATTTGGAGGAAAGCAAATGAAGGTGAAAATGTCCAGCTTAGAGTTTGACATTAGACAGAGTTCAATTATTAGTTTAAACATTGCATCTATGTCGACAAGGGGTGAATCTAAGGATAACATTACCTTTGTGTAGTTGTCTTTTTTAGTTTAACCTTTTCAGTGGTTATTATGTTTTAACAAATGCTATCGACCACAATGTGCTTTGGACACAATATCTGGTGCTCTGTAAAAAGTCACTCCATATCCTAGAAAGTTGCGGTGATGATTTACTGAAATATTGAAAAAGTATCATCTTGTATATCCGTCTTTTCAGCATTTGGCTACTGTCTTGTCTGGTGGTTTGTCCATCACCCGGAGCACGTCATCCAGGATTGAAGGGCCCAGGTCGAAGCTAAAGGAAAAGCCACTGTCCTCATCCTGCTGGCCAGCGGTTTTGGTGCAGGTGTCTGTCGAGTCTCCGTCTTTGTCTGAACTCAGGCTGCCCCATCTAGGACTGTAATTCTGACTGGAAGCAACATAATTCCGTGTTTTGTACCCATCCTCCTGTTCCATCTCTCCGTCTGCTTCCTCGCTCTCCAGAAGTGGCATAGAGCTGCATTTCTTTTTCCTCTGGGATGCGTTGTACTGGCGGCCTACTTGGCAGTCGGGGCTCTCTGAACCCTCTGCCTCATCCAGGTTCAGACGTGGGGGCTTGGGTGGTGGAGAGCAGGCCAGGAAAAGATTCTGCTCGCTCTGGGAGCTTTGTAGAAGCAGATTATGGCCCATTTTTAAGAAGGACAGGTCACCGAAACTGTCTGTATGGGCATCATTGCCAATATGTGTGATGTGGCGGAAATCCGACAAGGGTAGGCTAATCATGTTGACAGACAGCACCTCCCTGCGCTTGGACTTCCTGCTGGGCCAATGCCCAGAGGATGGCTTTCTGTACATTGATGATTTAAGGGGCATCTTGGCAGCTTGGGTTGAGATAGACTTAAATGTTTTTATATATCCTTTTTATGTATCCTTAAGTCTTTGTATCCTTTTTGTATTTCCTCTGTTCAACAGTGTATCCTTAGGAAGAGGTGAAGCCTATAAGCATTATGCCATCTGCAACAAAATGCACGAAAAGAGAATTTATGATTTAACAAAAGGTAGATGCCAAGTATTCTGTGAAGGCAATTTTTTAACAACACTGCATTATATATCAATTCAATTTCCCTTCTCATCTTGCTGGAATATGGAGCAAGTCTGTGCTTGTGGTGTAATTCAGCACCAGATGTAAATATTGGACTGTATCAGTCTGTAGCCATTGTTTATAGATTGCACCTGTTCCTTGATTTTAATTTAATGAAATTCAGCAGTATTTGGCAGTGGAGGGATGTTCCAACAATGCTTTGAAGCTTTCATTTCTAAATATTTAGGATTTTTTTCCCCCCAATAAATGCAGGTGTGGTCTGCTGTCTATCATCTAAAGTAACAAAAATGCAGATTCCCAAATGGTTTTACAGTAACTTCTGTCAGAAATCATGATGATAATTTCACTTTGAAACACATGTTTATTATTTTGTGAAAAACACAATGCAGTCAGTTTATTTTGCTGTGATTTAGTGAGTTTAGTGAGACTCTGGATATTTTGTCATTACAGAAGTAACATCACATTGTAGGCATTACTTTTACAAAATAAGTTATCCATTTTGTGATGTAGTTGTGGCATTTCATATTATTAAAATTTCACTTCCACCAGAAAAACTTAAAAGGAAACATCTTGGTCAAAATGAAACAATACAAGAACGTCAAATGAAAGTCATCTATGAAGGTTCTCAGTCATCCATAGTCATAGTTATCCAACAAAGGTTGGTAAACCTTCGGTGGATACAAATGAAAGTCAAACTTTGTCAAAAAATGAAAACCACTTTGCGTTCCGTGACCTGTAATCATTTGATTGAGTAAAACAGAACTCAGTTCATCAACACTGGCACGTCGATTAGATGATCTGCTTGGTGTCTGTGATTTTTACGGTCTCCCAAACAGCTTTGCCCACATTAGATCTGTGTTCGTGACTTGAAACACTCACTCTGTAAATTTGTAAGCCACTACAGCAAACAGGTTTTGTTGGCCTGTAAAGGTTTTACCGGCACTTTAGTAGCAGCGGGAGATTGGAGAGCGTGGACACAACAGCATTCCTTTCCAAACATGTCAGTTTGGCCAAGCGGAGTCTTAGGATTTCAGCCATGAGTATCATGTTCAGGAAACACTTCATGGCCAAGTAAAAATAAAAGAAGCCCATTAAAACAGATTGGCCAATTAACTATTTTAAAAATTATCTTCCTGAATGCAGCCATAGATGAACTGTCTTCGAGACAGATAAATAATCTGTCTGGTGAAAATTGATATCAAGATTTTTATTTCCATGTGGTGGTTTGTCTAGTAGATAGAACACAATAGAATAGATAAAGATTCGTTAGTTTGGTCTTACCTGTGCTGCTGAGCAAATACAGAAAATTTGAATCCCACACGCGCACACACGTCTCTGTCAGGACACTAGGCAGCGTCTACCTGCACACCCTATCAAACTCTTCCTTGACATGATGGGGCTTGTTCTGCTGTTACAGAGAGAACTTCATTGTACAACCTTGATACAGACGAACAGACAACATAGTCAATTTTAAATTTTCCCCCAGTGACACAACCAAGTCAGCTTTTACATTAAATTGCTGAATTTAACTGCCAAGAGAGTGTCTTTTTACCTTTTTTGGTCAGTCCTTGGACATTTGATCCTCTTTTATGCTAATCCTTCCCAGCGTTTACGCCCTCCTCCTTTGAGCTCTGTAGGTGTGTTGCCGGTGAAAGTCTTCTTTGCCTAAGATATAAGCCAGGTGAGGTCAGAGTACAAGAGCATTAAGACACCCAGGTGGAGCCTTTTCCTCAGTTTATCTTCGTTTATATTTGCCGTTATCTGCCTTTTTAGAATGGATGTCAGATGAGATCATCTTGGTTGCGATGTGAGTTGGACTTTTTGTCATAAGTATTAAACTAAGTCCTGCTGGTTGGCTGGCTGCACCCATTACCTGAGTGAGAGTAGGTGCAAAGCAGGAGCTGCCAATTTAATTCCTGTGAGATTGAGACCGACCGAAATGTAGGAGAAACTACGCTGCACAACTCAAGAGCTGAATGGTGTGGAAGTGGTTTGAGAGAGAAGGGAAGAGTGAGAGAGGTTGAGTTTGAATAAGATAGTGAGTGTAAAACAGGTTGTGTTTGAGAGTGTGTGTGTGTGTGTGTTTCATAGCTTATGTGCTTGTGTCTAAAAGGAAGTCGTAGTTGGTGAGCAAACAGGTCAGTCACCCAGAGGAGCGGGTTAACTGATCTCTAATCTCTATGTCATTGTCCCATTGCTCTGCTGATCTCCTGATTTCCTGTACACTGTTGGCTTGTCTAAAGCCCCGAAGTCCAGCCTACTCCACAGGCCCTTCTGCCTGAATGGAGGCCTATAGCTTCTCTATGTTATCAAAGCAAACTATCGCACACAGACATGTATGTACAGGCATGCTGGGTTGCACAAGAGAGATAACTTGTTGCATTTCCAATTCTCACGCCCCCAGCTTGTTGTCTTTGTCCTTTGGAATGCTATAGCAAAACAATAAAGAAAATTTTGTCACAACAGAAATCCTTTTTCCTGTTCTGTGGAATTTGTTTGTGTTAAAAATGGCAGGGTTACAGCATTTTGTTGTGCCCTCACAGGCAGTAATTGTTACTTTGCCTTCATCATGCCCTTTTGGTTGTCTTATGGTTTGGAAAGATTCTTTCTAAGTGTTTTAATCCGCTACAACCTGTGTCCCCGTATTTTTAAGAGGATGTATTAATATCACCAACACGCCATTGTGCTCTGATCTTTGTCCAGAGTCTGAAGGCTTCTCCTCATTCATCAGCTTAAACATGCAGGGTGTGAAGGAAATGGACAAATGGTATCTTTCACTTCCTTTCAAATTGATCCAGTAAACAACAGGCGTGCCCTCTGATCCCCTCTTGTTCTCCCGCTCTGCGCTCCACCGCCAGAACAGCCTGCAAGACCAGACACAATTACTCACGCAAATGAAATTATCAAAACATTTGCTTAAGACTGAAACAGAACATTTTTTAACATTTCTCTTCTGAGAAACCCTTCGTCCTTCCACCTACAACCACAAAACTGCTGTCATGCTAGAAAACAATCAGGGTGAAGAGCTAGTATTATCTGCGGTATTAGGAATGACCTCACAAGACCCGCTGTCTGACCAAGGCTGGGCTCACTCTGTTAGTTGTGTTGTCATGCTATGTAGCCTCTGGCCTGATGCGTATAGCCGTTGCTGGTTTCTGTAAAAGCCTCTTTTCTTAGGCCTGCCCATAGCGGTCAGTGTGGTTTGATGCAGCTATGCTGGGCCTGAAATCTGGGATGCTGCGTGTTTTTGTTGTTGCAGGATAAAAAGTGTTTCCAGATATTACTTTGACTGGCGCTAGAAGCCCAAACAGAGGCTTTAGTGGATATTCTTCTGGCCCTTTTGTTGTGTGTTATCCTGCTGTATCGTGGCCCTTAGACAGGCACCATTTAGACTGCATTTGCAGCAAGAACTGTCTGAAGCTTTTATATGAAAAACATTTTATGATGACGACAAACGTAGGGCGTACTGTACTTGTAGTACATCCATGAATGAGTATGAAAAGCACAGGGACTAGACCGTTAATTCCTTGCTTGAAATGGATGTCAATGTCCACTATTCTACCTGTATCTGTCTCTGAAACTGTTTCTAGTAGCTACTCTTTGTAATGTCCTTTCATTAATTCTGGTGAGAACATCCAAGTTTGCATTTGTCATCATCCGGACCGTTGTCGTCACCGTTTGTCTCTAAAGTTATGACTCAATGATGAGCTTTTTGAAGGCGCTCCAGCAGAAACTTGGCAGTCTGGCTACTCACAGGAAGTGTAAACACTCAGTTACATGACTGCCACATGACGGAGACACCAGTCAAAATCCAGGTGTTATGTTATTTAATACCAACTGCAGACTCCTTAACACATGACAAAGCTTACAGTAGGGTCTAATCAACAAAGTGAGGTCACGTCACTAGGATGGATAATTAATGGAGGGATGCAACATACATTTCTGATGAGGTAATGTATATTGATGCCAAATAGTATAACGATATAAAATAGCTTAATTATTTACATGTTAGGTTTTAGACATAAATGTGCCTGTTATGCCTTCTAGCACCACCCTACATTATTAACCGTTTACAAATGAGCTGACTTTGTTCAACAACACTTAAAGCAAGAACTAACAGTATCTGTTTATCTATTGGAGATACATTATGGTTTTGTTAGGGGAATTATGAGAAATACATACTATATAGCTGAAATATCTTTGCATTTGAATCTGGACCAGCTCTCAATTTTATAATAGAGGCAACATTTCCCCCTCCAGAAAATATATGTTATGTAATGGTAATTTTGTGCTGTTATACAGAGAAATCTTGCGCTCACAGATTTATACAATGTTTAGAGCTCTCCTTTTTGTTTTTGCTGGATTAAGTAAAAAAAATGTTAAATGTACATATGCATAACTCAAAACATACTATTTTTTTCAGTGTAGGCTGGAAGTGTACAGCTGTGTCTCCTGGCTCTGAATCAGCAGTAATAATAAAATCATGTTTGGGACATGTTACTTTGGAGACATGAGAAATATATGATGTAAACAGTGTGTTTGTTCCTAAATTAAATAGATATGGAACCATGTTAATATGGGAACACACATGTATACACAGAGTGAACAAACATTAAAGATAAATTTTGTTTGGAACCATGATTTGAATTTAAAATTTTTATCTCCCCTCATAATGCCTGAGCTCTTTTTGACATATCCAAAGTTCAGACTGCATTCATGGCCCCTTTGGTTTTAATGTGAAATCTGTTGCAATCAGAGAGCTTTTCCTGGAAGGCCGGGATGTGAAAGACATAATTTTGCTTTTTACAACGACGTGTTGTTGGATATTGAAGAGGCCAAACCCCCACATCTCCCTATTCTAGGATCCCTGAGCTCATCCATCATAAAGAGAAATGCCAGGGCACCAGGAGTTCATGTCTTTTACTGCCATTTCTCTCTTCACTGTTTATTTCCTACTTTAACAGTTTCCAAAGGCACACTCTGTCCAACAGGCTTCTATTTTGTCCAATACTGTGGCCATGTACGTGCACGTCCACACGTCCAAACACACTGATGCTTTTTTCCCTCCTTTATTTTACCCTTGAATGTTATTGGCTGAATCACGCAACTACCACTACCCTTCAGGATGACACAGGAGTGGATTTTCCCTCCCATCTCATTCCCAATTTTAAAACATAAATAAATAAATAAAATCAGACAATAGCATTTTTTTCAAATCAGAACTCCATTTTTATATATGAAAACTGATTTATGATTCCCGTCCCAGCCGCTCCTGTGGACTTTTTCTCCTGTCTAGTCCCAGTTCTGTGATGATTAGTAAAATTGACTTGCATCGTGTGAGAATCCTGAAAAAATGTAAGACTCTAACCTGTACACAGTGTTCAGTCAGGCACTGTACTGCCTTTGCACTTCATAATGTCAAAGCTTTAGAAGTTGTGCTTTATATTAAGTTTCTGTCGCTGCTGTAACGGAATGTCTGACTTTCATTTGATGTAGCTCTCGTTTCCATTGCAGCTTGACTTTGTGATTTAGATTTTTAAAATAGCTGCATTTTACAGACAGTGAATATCTTTCCCAGTGTAGTTTCAAGGATGTTTTTAAATTCTGCAACTTGCATTTCGAATAATTATTAAAATCGCTGATCTGAGTATTTCTGTTCAGATGCATGACTTTTGCTGTCAAATAAAAGGAGGTTTTGTTTTGGAGTTCCATTCAAAAACCAGAACTTTGTGGGACACGTGCATGTAAAGGGTTAAATACAGGAAGTTGTAATAGTAATCTCTATGTAGTGTTTCTTCTTCACAACAAAAACTGTATAATAGACCAGACCTTATGTCTGCCGTGTCTCATAATGAATGAAGATTAATCCTCTACCATTTACAAAGCTTGAGTTTTGCAAGCAGAGGAATTTCACCTTGGCTGCAGTGTTGCATGTGTAGGCCCACTTGCCTGTTTGTTTGAGTTAGCAGGAGTGCTCGGGCTCCCACTTATATACATACACACTCACTCACACACACACAAATGATCTCTAAATAAGTGTTCGAGTCTCATAAATCACCTACTCCATAGCTCTGTGACACACTCGCACCCACACCCACACCCACACACACATTTAGAAACACACTATGCCACCACACACACTCCAGATAAATAGTTCCTTGATTAACTTCAGCAGAGTGCATTAGAGCTGAAATGTTAGCCTGGACCACAGAGTAGGCTTGTTAAGAAAAAGCCATTTCTTCTCTTGGCGGCAAAGTCTATAAAATTACTTGTTGGCTTGGTGACCATCTAGTTAAGAGACATCTTATGGCTGATGGTGTTAATGGGTAATTCCAGTTATCAGATAGAAATTGGTAACCTCTCAGGTTGCAAGGATAAGAGACAATAAGCATGAAATGGCAAGTATATCAACATCAAAATTGTTTTGAAAGTCATTATAGTGTAAATGCATTATTTGCATTCAACCAAGAGGCATTGTTAAACAAGATGTACTGTGAGAGGTCTCAAAGTCAAGCTTCTAATGTCCAGTTCAGTACTTTGGTGGCGTCCTTGTTTATTAGGTTACTACACAAGCATGTGTTGCCTGTTTATCATCCAAGCACAGTAAGTAGCAACACTACATTTAACTCAAATTTTAAGGGTCAAGAGCACTATCACTCACAATGCATAACTAAAGAGTCATGAGATCTGTACTATATGATTTTGATTTGTTAAGAGAACAAGTAAAGAAAAAGGAAATGAGCAGAAAGGCAAAACAGAGTCTTGCTTTTGGTCTTGCTGTGTTATCTCATCTTTCTGGGTGGTTTCCCCACTTAGCTGCATCAATGGATCTTCAGTGGATCTGTAAATCTGCAGTGTTATGTACAGATGGGCAACAAATGAAGGAGTGGAGAAACATAATGAATGTTGATGCTTCCGTACAGGGCACGAGGGGACACTGAATGGTTTGAGGAGTATGAAAAGAATGCAACTAATATGCTATGGCCTTAACAGTCACAAGATCTCAAACTTGTTGAAAAATTTTGACACACATTCATCACCAAATACGTGAATATTTTTTAGAGGAGCGGCCTCCAGTAGAGGTTCAGAGAAAACCCGGTTTTTGCTTGTGATAATTTGCTGGTATATTCCTTTTTTTCCATTTTGAAGAGATTGTGGCAGTATGTTCTTATGGCTGCCTTAGTCCACACTCTTTCTTCTCCATTGCAAATAACACACACACACGCTTATTTCCTCACATTCTCATTCACTCGTGCTCACATACTCAACGCAACAGCTCACACAAACTCACATAGAGGAGTGGTGTAATGTGCAGCTGATCTGATAACTTGTGCCGGGGGAACACTGTGGCCACCTGCACTACGAGATGCCTCCTGCTGTGTGTGGGAAGAAGTGTGAGAAAGAGAGTGTGTGTGTGTTACAATGCCTGACTCACAACACCGGAGGTATTCATGATGTCATTACTGGCCCGAGGTCAGGCTCGGGTGTGAGGTTTGGAGGTCTAGCCATGTGCTGATGTCACATGCTGCTAGTCCTCAGCTCATTTGTGTGTGTTTTACTACCATCCTACCTCTGCTGTGGCCGTGTGCTCTCCTCTCTTGGCTTTGTTCGGGGGGGGATTGTTTGTGTTCTGTGGTTTCCTACTCACCCTGGGCCCCAGTGTTACTGCAACACGCACACATGCATGCACACGTACACAACCAAGTGTTTGGTTACAGAGTGATGCACTGGCTAAACATGTACATTGTCAGTTAACACCCGAGGCAAGGAAACATCCCTCATCCTGAGAAGAAGTGCGTCACACTGCCCATAAAGCACCTGTTAATGCTCCGAATTCCCCTACATCATTAGCCTGGTACCGTCCACCCGTGACTGCACCGGTTAGGTCAGACCAATTCTGACTTGAGGTATTTCAGGCGCACTTCAGTGTAGTGCCCAGTAGAGGGCAGGGCCGAGTCTAGATATATTTGCTGAAGAAGAGGGAGCATTTTCACCGGCTTGCTTGTATACTTGCTTGTGTTTTGTTTAATTTGAAGATGTAAGATATGTTTATTTACCTAATGATGTTCGCGTGATATTTCAGAGTTACATGTCAGACAAGGGCTTGAGCTCACATTACTGGAATGATAATAGCAGCTTTCCTCAATCCAGGGGCGGGGTGGGGGGGTGGGGGGTAACCTCCCCTTACAGACCCTCTCTCCTCTCTTCTTCCTCCCTACTTACCCTTTTTCTCTCAGCACATTGATGCTGGAGTCCTGTGTGATGTTTTCCAGATGCCTTAGCTCAGTGAGCGCATTGACAAAAACCTACCTCTCCTCTTCCAATCGCTCTCACTCGCTCTCTTCCAGTCGCTCCCTTCCAGCACACAGTCACTTGCTCTCTCTTGCAGCTCACTGTCTTGTTAAATAGACACTTCCTTGGCCCAGCAGACTTCCTGGAGATAATCCTTAAAAACAATGGCTTACTCTGTGGACACATATCCTCCCTCCCGTTCAAAATCGGATGATGTGCTTTGTGTCATATACGTATAATTATGCACACATAATCACCCTAGGTGCATATTTTAAAAAAGTGTCTCCTGGCTTCTTTAGTGCCCCCTTCCTGTGCCTGTGTGTGTTTGCTGGCCTGTATGTGTTTGTGCCTGTGTGTTGTGACCGCACATATCGTGACCTGTTTGTTTGTGTGTGTAATATGTCTGACCTGTGTTCCACCCTGCTTGATTAACCATTAGCCAATGACCTCTCTCCGATTCCCTCCATTGCCCAAGCCCAAGCCTTTCAAAGAAATCACACACAGTGAGATACCGGGCGACTGCCAGGCCCTCATTTTGGGGTTTAATGACCTCAGGCAGCGGAATTACCCTGTCACAGTTGCTCTGCGGGCTGCTGTCTCATGCATGTCCACCCTGACGCCATGCCGATGGTAACTGAGATGAGAGCGTCTGTCCGAGTCCGCCTCTGTGCCGCTCTGCACACACAGGCCTCGTTGTGAAAGCAAACAGACAGTGGACGGTGACAGTGGTGTCATTCTCTCCATGTGAGTCAGTATCATGACACAAAACACAGATATGTTTGACTTTTCTATGACATCCTACCAGTGTAATGGCTCATTAGACATTTTCTTTGAATATTGATTAAAGGGCCACTCCACCGATTTTACACAACAAGATCAGGTTACTCGTAGGCAACACTACACATCCTGTAAACTCAGTTGATGTGACGTCATCAGGGTTCTCGTCTTGGGAGTGGGGACTACACATTTATGACTGTAAGACTGCCTGCAAAAAACAAAAAAGTTGTGGAGCCTGAAACATACATGGCATTTACCAGGCTTAAAATGACTAACGATAAGGTGTTAGTGGTTGCATTATGTCTTGGTGCCTGACCCATACTACAGACTAAAAGTTGGGATATGTCTGCCTGAATCTGTCATGTGTGAGTCTCTTAACTTTATGGAAGTGTAATGCCAAATTGCTGGAGTATGCTTTCCAGAAAAGACTGATATTGATACATAATATCCCGTTTTGTTAAACCAACACTACAAAATCCAAAGTTATTTAGTTTACAATGATGTAAAATGTCCATCAATCTATTTCGACTTATCTATTAATCAACTTTGCTTTTGTAAATGTTTTTGTTTGTAAATCTTGGGCTCAAATACTCACATTACAGCCTGCTTGTGTCTGTATGAAAGACAGAAATTACACAAATTAAAGGCCTAAAGACTATAATATGTGCTTTCAGATCATTTCCATGTTATAATAACCTCTCTCTGTTACCATGTTTGACATTGTGCGCCTGTCTCTATCTCGTGCAGGGCGCCCTGACAAATGAGCGCGACTATGAGAGCTTGGTGATGATGAGAATGAGGCAGGCTGCTGAGCGACAGAGACTCATAGAACAAATGCAGAGAGACGACGATGAGGACGGTGCCAGGTCATAGCACAGCAGGACCCAACTTGGTACCAGCCTGCAACCATTAAATGAAATAATCTCTTTAAGGCTTTAGTTTCATAAAGCCTCTTGAGTGTTTTGTTATCATGTTTAATGTAATACTCTGTTTGGCAAAATAAATCTTTTTAATAACTAAAGCCTTTTTTCAAATCTGTGGGTTTAATCAGCATGTCTTTTCCTTTACTGAGAACGTATGATGACTGAGGGAGATACAGAGTAGAAAGAAGTGACAGCTCCTGCTGGATTCAGTGGGGTACCAGAGGTAGGAGTCCTAATACTCAGGCTGCAGGGATGAATCAGGGCAATACACTATCTAGTGTAACCATATTGTGTGCATGGATGATATTTTGATAGCTTATTAGTGATCAATATTTTAATTGCAGATTATACAAATTGGACAGATTTGTTCAAAATAAAGACTACCTGGTGTCTATTTGGTTTGCTGCAATAAACTGAGTTGAACAGATATTTAATCTAAATTTTATGAGATATTTTCACATTGTCTAAGTAGTTTTTCTGGTGATTTGGGGGATATCAAATTAATATCAATTAATAATTATATCAATAAATTGCAATAAATGGTAACAGTATAACAATGTATCATATTGTGGTGACTCTGGGGAAACATACACCAGCCCTAAGCATTATTAAACAAGTTGTTAAATTATTTGAGCCATCTTATTTGAGCCATATTTGAAGTCATCTGGTGAGTATTTAATCACTAGTCTTTGCATTGTAAAAGAGCCAAGGAGGTTCGCTGTGACATCTCATTACTTCATTATTGTAGCCAGCAATGTGTAATATAAAAATCATTCTTTTCGGTTGTCTGCTTACACAATCAGTGACTCTGTGAAAACTTGAGTGTGAGAGGAAAACAATCCAAACCACAGAGGGTGCAATGTGACTATGTGGAAATCATTTCTCCCCCATGTTAAACCAGTAATCAGGCTGAGATAGGAACACTAGGTAGCCTTTTACAGGAATTCTTGTGGACTCTCTTGATGAAAAGTGAAAATACCCTGAAGGCCCTCCATTATAGATCTGGTGGTTTAGAATTAAGATGATTGTTCCCTGGCCTTTGTCTATAATACATCTGAAGCTCTACTTTTGACTGAAAAGTCACTGGACTGCAGCCTCTATGCAAACCATTTATTTTACAGTACTATTGAAAATAATGTAGATCAGGGGTTCCCAATCTGTGGGTCAAGACCCTCCAAGGGGTCCAGAGACACTGTACATCTGACGGTTCAAAGGATTGTTAAAGGGATAATTAGGGGGAAAAGATTTGTCACACAAAATATTAATTTCTGCTTTTTTTTCCTTTTTTGTGAAACACTGGATACTACCTCTTCAGTAATAACTTCCCATAACTAATTACCATAGTAACGTTATATCTTGTGACTTAATTTTAAGGAGTCACGAGCCAAAAGGTTTAGGAACCTGTAATGTAGATCATCAATATCTGATAGAGAAAATCCCTTAATTGTTACTAAATACTGTCATTAAAAGAATAGTTTGACATTTCGGGAATATATGCTTATTCACTTTCTCTGCTGGGAGTTGGATGGAATATGAAGCCAGGAGACAGTTTTCTTAGCTTAAATACTGGAAACACGGGGAAACAGTTAGCTTGGCTCTGTCCAAAGGTACAAAGAATCCACCTACAGTACCTTTTAAAGCTCTCTAATTAACACATTTATCTAATTTGATTAATCTGATCATAAACCAAACTATGAAAACGGTGTGTTGCGGTTTGACGGGGGCTTAGGTGTTGGAACTACTTCTTGGCAGGGAGAAGTGACTTTCTGGAGTCCTGTTGTCGTCGTTGTGTTGCCAGGCAACTAGCGAAGACTCCGGGAAGTCACTGCTCGCCGCCAAGAAATGGTCTGGCACGTAAGCCCCCATACAACCGCGTCTGGCTCCAGCTTAAAATTGAATGGACAGACATGAGAGCAGAATCAATCTACTCATCTAGCTCTCAGCAAGTAAGCAAATTTTACTTTACAAGTAAATACATTTTATTTGCAAAAGCAAAGAACTATTGCTTTAATCACCAACTGAAAGGATTTTATCTAAGGAGTCCTGGAACAATTTGATTGACTTCTACCACGTGATAACTGCTACACTAAGCATGAACAGTACATGGACATCCATTTTTCCTTCATGCGTGATATTATAGGACTGGGTAAATCCAAGGGTTTGCGGCTATGGGTGTGCTCTGTTTTGGGGCAACCTACCCACCTCACTGTTTCCATTTCATACACTTCAGTCCACCCTTGGTCCTGATGGATCATGTCACAGGCCATGGACCAGCTGAAGAACATGCTGCTTGGTTCAAAAACTGTCCAGTTCTGTCTTACGATACTGACCTCAACAAATTGTCTCAAAGTTAAGCTATTATTGTTTGAAGCTATTTCACAATAGGCTTATGTAACATGTACATAGAAGATACTCTGCATTGCTTATTTATGCTCTCTGAAGTGAAACACCACCGCTCTGTGACCCACATTAAGTCAGACTTTACAGTGCCAAACTGTTGTGGTCACCCTGAGTTTTGAAACAAGGTCCTCTACCCGTGGAACATCGATCCATCCAAAGAGTCTTATTTTCCTGTCCCTCAGGGGGGACTATGGCGTAATGGTATGTCTGTATTTGTGGGCCTGTGTGGCGGCGCTTTCTCCTGTCATTGTGTTATTTAGGAGCCACATGGCAGCTTCGCAACATCCAACCCAGTCATTCATCTCTCTGCGAGTCCTGCTCTGCAATTGCTGTGGCTCTGTTACACAATGTCCAGCTGTGGAGCGGAGTAGTATGGTGGGAGACATCTGCTCCCCTCCTCCTGCAAAATCCCCTCATCACATGGTTTTGTTTATGCGTAGCCCTTCTCATATCCCCGCAATGTGGGGAGAAAAAAGGCCAGAAACACACAAACTCTGTCCAAATGACAACAGGGGAAACACAATTACAGGAAACACATTCACCACCAACCCTGCCCTGAGCCCACAGCGGCTTGTGCTGCATGCGATGAATGGGAGGATGAGTCTGTTGTATGCTCTTTCCTATTAACAATTAGGGCAGGGCATTGGAATCTTCATAGCGTCTTCTCCTGCTCTTTTGTCCTTGTATTGTTCGAGCTGAACCTGTCACACTGGTGTAGGCAGAAAGTAGAATCTCCGTGGTCACAGAAATGGCAAGCACCAGCATCTTTTTAGTGCGGAGGTGGAAGCTAAGTCATGTGTGAGGCAGCAGGACTGGTAAGAGTTTGGCTGTGAGCTGGCTGGCAAAGATTCTGGTTTGCGGGTTAGTGATCCAGGCTGGCCCCAGACATGCGCTGGCAGACCGGGGGCTGTAATGAAACCACCCAGTGTTTTTTGGCTCCGACAGGCAGACTTTTGTACTCCTGCTGTGCTAGTACCTCATGTTGGGGCGTACAGCATCCCTGTAAGGTGCCACAGAGCTGCGAGAGTGCGATGATCATCTTTCGTATGTGATGTTTAGGACTGTGTTTAATAAGTGCTCAAGCAACATTATTACATCATTTAATGATAAGCATATGATACACGTACAAAAACATCTTTACACAGTGCTTTAAGTACAAACCTGTAAAGCAGTGTTTTATTTACGTGGACAGAAGAAAGGGAGTACTGGCGTGCAGACATGCCTTTAACATGATAAGTTCTACTGCCAAATGACACAATAACAATACAACTGGCCGTCACTTCCTACTCTTGCGCTTAGTCACCAGTACTTGATTGCAAACAATATGGGCAGAGTCTTATAAAATGTCCGGAATGTAGTTCAGAATATCCCTTAAAATGGTGACCTGTCACCGATTGATGGTCATCTGAAATAATCTCACTTTAAGGAATTTATTTTCACTTGATAAATGGCTGATTGTATTGAATGTAGAGCAGAGTACCAAAGTTAAAAAAATGTATTCATTCTCTTAAAGGCTCATAGAGGTTTTGATACAGTCAACATGGATCACTCCGTCTCCTTGTGGAGGCACCACACCAGCGTCTGTCCCACCCCGGTCATCGTCAGCAGGCGGAAGCCTATCTTCTCCAGCTTGTCCAAAACCAGGCGAGGTGGATCGTCCACATGGTACTCGGAACTAAATAAGCATAAACACAAAGTAATTCTACTTTCCACAGATGTGGGATTTCTCTGTCTTTTAGTAAACTTTACTTGGAAAGTAGAATGCTGTTAATTGCTCTGGTGCTTGTTCACTTCCTTCCACACCTTGGTTCATTTCCCAGCAGCATTTGAATCAGACTGCCAATGACAACACTTCCCTGATCTGTATTCCATCAGCTTGAATGGTTTATTCTAAATCTGCAAAGCAGCAGCCTTCCCTGACCACATTGGAGTTTTTCCCCCCTCCATGTGACCTGATCTCAGCTCTGTCGTCAATATGTACACTGTAACTGCCAAAATGAAAGAAACACCAGTGTTAAGTGTCTAAATATGGAAATATGGAAATATGGCCCAGTTTGAGCACATTTACCGTACACCTGGTAATCGATTCTGCATGTATGTGTGGAGCTCTGCCTCCGAACGGTGTCATTAGTTTACTGTTCCCTGTTTGTGAGATGGTTTCACGAAACTGATCAAATCAGGATAAAAAAAAATCTTCACCCTGTTAGTGACATTTAAGTCCCGTTTTTTTTTTGCAGATGGCACCCTGAGCCAAACTGTGCCTACAAATCTCTCAGTGTAAGGTAATGCCCAAATCTGACCCTTACCTGCCACATTTACATTGAAATCCACCCACTACAATAAGTGACCATCCCCATTTTAAAATACTCACAAATTATTTCCCAGCATAGTTGTTTTCCTTGCTCCCAGGTAATTCATGACGGCTGGATCAGAATATTCATCTCCCACATTTGTAGGACCAGTCTCCTGTAGGAAATAATTAAGTACATTAACTATACAGTGACAGTTTGCTTAAGATGGATTGGGAAATGATTGCTTTGCTAAAACAATATATGTTGTCTGTTATTTGTGCAGATCTGGCTGCGCTTCACTAGCTACACCTGCAGCCTGTGGCAGGTGCCGATCATAATCTCTAATAACTGGACCGCCTAAAAATAGATCATCCAATACTCGGAGGCTATAGAATTAGGTTGCTCCAGTCGTGCAGACAACAAAATGAACATGCGCAACAAGAGGCCGACAGCTGGGCAACATTTGTTTTTAATTGAGGGCTCCAAGACAAACACAACCATAGGCGCGCTGTTTGCCCTGCCTTGTAACCTTGATTGCTTGTTGTTTTCCAGCTTGCAGAATATGACAGGCTACTGCATAGCTGTAATCTGCAAGTGAGGACCTTGACTGATTAGCAGTGATGCGCTGTGTTGTCTGCCAAATAAATAAATAAATCCCTAAATCTCCAACTCGCGCGCGTCTCTTCTGCAAGCATGACACGAGTCATTTACAGAAGCAGGATACACACCAGTCGGATCTGCGTACTGATGAACATGTAAGGCATCCCCGCTCCCTGGCGATGGATCTCGATTCCTCTGGGAATGACTGAGGAGGTTTCTTCACACGCGCGACAGTCCCGTCTCCAACTCGCGCTTCTGCTGACAGCTCTTCCCGGAATGCGGAAACGCCCACCGCGACGGACCAATCGCAGCTTTTCTCTCAGCATATGTCCGTCGCCTGCTCGGTGCACAAAAACTTGCTCAACTGATGTGATCAGTAGTTTGTTGACATGAGAAATGTTGGCCAGTGTGCATGCACCAGAGGAAATGTTATTTATGCAGAAGGCAGTTTCATCACCCAGCCTAGATTTTCTATCTTCAGAATTAAACATCCTCAGTACAGAAGTCCACAGGAAATTCTCATCATTCTGTGGCTGGGAAAGTGTAGATATCGTGTTTTGTTTTCTCCTGCGTTGATATTAAGTCATTTGTTTAACAAAACTCATAAGGCATTAGTTTATAAAATAACAGACCAACTGTAGCTAAATTCATTAAGCATTAACTTTTTATTGTTTTGTACAAACACACATTTTTGAAGTACTACAGTTTTTCTCACTGTCCACTAAGTTCACACGGATTTAGTTTGCGTAATAGGCTACATTTGGTTAAACAATTATATTTGTGTGCATGCATGTATTACATTGAACCCGCACTGTCTGGAACTTGAATTTCCTCCTCAGAGATTTATTAATTTCCTGCAGCGCAATAATAATAATTTTGGATCAGTCTTGTGACTTAGAGGGAAATGAAAGACATAAACCAAAGGCAAACAACAATGGCGGAGACGCTGATAAAATCTGCAATATGAATGTAATGTCCCGCTGATGCCAGAGGAGCCCGACGGACATTCAGTGGGGCTCTGCATGTCATGCACAGTGGGAAGGGTAATTTAAAGCCTGATCGCAGCTTGATATTGTTAGTAGATATTGATAGTAGGCAGACATAAATCTGAGCAAACCAGAGCTCATTTGGAAATGGCCTGCACCACCGTCAATGTTGAACACATAATCTTTGATGTTTTTCTTTTTTTTTTGTTGTGCTTTGACAAGATGTTGTTGCTACAGTTGATACATTGTGAGACTGCATGGATACTGTTTGTTTTCTGTCAAATGCGTCTGCCATCCTGAAATGATCTAGAGCCTGTCATCTGCAGCCCCATTCATTCAGGGGGACGCAGGTGCTTGGTGAGAATTGCTGAGAAGATTGCCACCTACTGGCTTCCAAAATCAGTGTCATCCAGTTTGTGTTGCTTGTCTCTTTGATTTTTCAAACAAACATCTTTCAACATTAGTCAAACACGTTCACATACTGTTCATTTGATAATCAATAATGTCACATTGCTTTCCCCTTTGGAAAACAGCCACTTGTTGATTGACAAATGAGTGTTTTGGCTTGAGATGAATGAGCTTCCATATGAATCATTTGTGGTGGGGAAAAAAAGAGAGGGGTGTTCCTGACGGATGTCTATTTTTTTTATGTGTTTTATTTGTCCCTGTCAACCTGAGACCTCTTTCAGGAAAGAAAACAGGAAAACAGCGGGGTTGTCACAGAGGCCCCAAAAATAAACCAGAGACCCCCCCCTCCCTTGCCAAAAGAACACTCTCTCCAAACATGTTCCGACCCCGGCCACTTCCTGGACTCCTGCGGTGTTATCCTGCGCTGGCTCATCTGCTGCTGGTTATTGGAGTGCAGGGTCACCTCTTCTGTGACCTGTGGTGACAGTGGAGCTCGTCCCTGGTGGGCCCGCAGGAAACAGTTTGATCTTTTGATGAGGCCTTTGCCTTCACCTTCTCAGCTAAAGTGTGATGGCCTGTTGCAGGAACGCTTCCATCAAACAAACTGGTAGTGTCATGCAGAGAGAATCTTCTGCAACAAAAAATTAAATAAATAGAAAATGCCAAATTACAGCTGTCACTCTGACTCCACTATGCAGAGCCCGTATAGCAATATCCACTGCAGAATTCATTAATGAAATGAAAGCACTAACTAGAGCTTATCCTGCAACAGGTTCAGGAGTGAATTTGGTTCTTAGGACATAAAATAAATGTCCCCTTCGATGTAACTAGAAATCCAAAAATATCACTAAAAATATGACTTAATGGTATTCAATACAGAACAACCTATTTAACATGTATTCAAATAGAAACACAAATCATCCAGAATAAACTTTATGTCTTGTGATGTCTAACGTCCAGTGCCTCAGATATCCCACACGCAACATCAAGCTTTCTGTGATGAATATGTCTGACGGATTTACTTGCTGTGAATATGTGTGGGTGATAACCTGCACCGGATGGCTGCACTGCTAAAGCAATCACTTTAAATCACTGTGAGTGGGGACTGAATATCAATGCATTATAAAGCAGTCACTGTATGTAATGATTTAATGTAGGTGTATATTGGCGTGATATTCCAATTTTCAGCAGAGGGATTTAAACTGTGGGAGAGCAGAGACAACAGGCAGCTCTCTGATAGATTTGGTGTTAGGGTTAACCTCTGTATAGGTTTACATCTGCTTAATTGTGATGAATCGCTATTGTTAAGGCATGTGTTCCTTCTTGAGACTTTTATGCTTGTGCATTTACTTGTGTGTGCCTGCATCTGCCCAGTTCCCCTCTTGAGGAGCTTCATAGTCCCTCCTCTGCAAGGAGATACATCATTGACCTCCTTTCCTTTGCTGTTTTCCAGATTACACCTAGCAGTTTGCATAAACTGTCTCCAAGCTGCAGAGATATTACCCAGCAGCCTTAGCAAGGTTAAATTCTCCTTTCCTCCTCCTCTCTTTGTCTCTTCTTTTCACCTTACCTCACTCCTCTCCCTTGCTTTGTCATGCTGCGCTCAGTGATTGACGATTCCGCTGGCTTGAGGGATTACACAACACATCATGACCTTACATGCTGTACATCGCTGTACAACGTTTGAAGCGCTGTCACCAGGTTAACAATTTGTTGAGAAACACCAGGATGCGGTTTCAGTGGTTGTGCATACTAGAATAGTTTGTTTAGGGAGACTTTCTCTCAGTGATTAAGAATAATGTCATCAGATATTTGGGACGACAAGTTCTTACACACTGTGTCTTTTCTCTCATCACCTCGAGTCAGAGCTTGATTTTGTTCAAGGAGCATGTCTCCATGGGCAGCCACAAATGGGACCCATTGGGCAATTAGTAACAAGAAACAACATGATGTGTAATAAACACAGAGGAAGAGAGAAGAGATTTAAGAGGGCTTGAATGTATCAGCTACATAGTTTGTTGGTCTGCATTCCTCAGCATTGTCTGTGTTGCATCCCAGTGAGTTTGACCACAACAATGTGCATTTAGTAAGACTAATTATTACTACTTAGACACAGTAAGGTTGACTTAGTTAGATGCCTTAGTTAGACAGACAAAAGAAATTCCTCTTCGCTAAATGTATCTCGATGTGGGGGTCATTATAGTTCATCCAAAGAGCTCCGGGAACAGCTGTTCAAGATAGAACTCATTTGGGATTTATTAGCAAATCAGTGGCTCATGACTGAAAAATCAGGTGCATCTATTCAACATTCACTTTTTTGTTCAGACATGAATTGTTCAGCCCAACATTTGCTTTCTCCCAATGATTTAAACATAAAAACCTTGAAAGTTTTTCGATGGACTGAAACATTTAGGAAATCAGGCTTTCGAAAAATCGGAACTTTTCCTTTTTAAAGAAAGCCGTTCAGGCCTGACCACCACTTTTCAGCTCATTCGTTACCTTTTGTTTCCTCTCATTACCAGATCATGAAAGCGTTTATTGTCATTTCCGCCTCAAATTTGAACAACCTGAAATTATGTGAAAATAGAAAGAAAACTAGGTGAACAGTGATGATACTGGTTTATAAAACCATTAAATTATGGCATAAATGCAGTACATTTTACAGTAATTAAATACACACAGAATTTTTTTTGACATACAGTAAGTAGAGCTTTTGTTTCAATAAAATTTTTAGATTTGAACTTAAGTTATGCTCTGATTGGTGTTTACTGAGATTTGCATTGGTAGAGAAGGAGTTAAAGCTTTGGGCCTTGATTAAATTCTATGTCAGTGCATTGTTAAGTCCTAAATGTAATAGATCTGTCAGTTCATTAACCATCAGTAGGCCTATATAAGGACAGGGAGATGCATAAAAAGTCAGAAAGAGATGGATAATTGGACAGAGAGAGGAATGATAACATGGATGCATACCGCTAGGACTGAGTCACATCATGGTCCCCATTAGGCCTGTAGTTATTATCATGGTTTTTATTATATGTTGCAGCATGTGGTTGTTGTTTATGAACAAGTCCGGCAGAGGTAATCTGCTCAGTGTATCATTGCAGCTTCACTACAGCAAGAATGGCTGCCCCTAGAAAAATAACTACGACAATGAGCTTGGCAAGGGCAAAGGGACAGCTTGACTTTGTTTAACGCATAACAACAACAGCAAGACTGCGCAAATGCTGCCCTTTATCATACAGGGAGCTCTAAGAAGTTTCGCTGCTTTTCGCTGAAACATGTCGTGGCAGCTGTACAGCATTGTGTGATGTATGTTATGAAAAGCAGCTCTTTTTCTTCACCCACCCACTGTTAATGCCTTCTTGAGATCACTTGTTGCCATGGTTACTTTGCTATATAATGCTGAACCCCACTTACTGAAAGGGCAAAGTGATTTATAAGGATTGTAAAATCCTTAACGAGCGCGCATCAGCTACAGAAGCTGACATGAACTTTGTCCCATTCAAAGCCTGACATGATTTTCCATTAATAAAACAGGGGATCCTTGAAAAGCCGACTGTCTGCTGAATATCCGGTTGGAAAAGAACTGTGTGAGCAGAATATCCAGATGCATAGTGGTCTTTAATATTGCTGCCCACAGTAAACAGCATAATCACATGAAAGAGGAAAACTTCAATTGCTGTGGCCTTCACTTGCCCTGACAACAAAGGAGGAAAAAGAGCGACGGACGATGACAGTCAATTATGTGACAATGATGTCATGGTAGTACCGGCTCTGATCAAGGCCACATGTCTGATGGGGTTCCCTTGCTATTCTCCATTCCCTGCATCCTTCATCCCAGTGTATGGATTTTCCGACTGACAGGGATTGGTAGTACAGGTGACACATACACATTAGATCCAAACATTGTTACAAACCACATATATATCAATAAAAACA